ATTTCAACAACATCATAACATGATCACATGGTAAGCACTATCAAAAATGCTGAGGCGAGGTAATTTGGTTTTAAAAGAGAAAATAAAAACCCCTTGTGAAATTAATAGCAATGTATGCTAACTCTCTCCCTGGTCCATTGTCCTTTGCTGTGTTTTATGGCTTTCTGGTTTTTATAAAAGTAAGTATGTTAGCAACAGCTGCTTGGAACATTTTTCCAGGTTGTGGGTTGAAAAGGAGGAAACTTGTGTTTGTTTAACTGCAGACAAAGTGATACAGAGACTTCCCTCCATGAGATGTGTATAAGTGTTTGTGTCTTTGAGATAAAGGAGGTTACACAGTTTACTCTTTAAGCCGTGGATGTCAGTGCTACACAAAGTATCAAACAAACCTTCAGGTGGACCAGTAGCAACACCAGATACTTTTACAGTTTACAGTTCGCTAACAAAAACGAACACACGCACCTTACCTTTGTTGCTAATCTTTTTCTAGTCATCAGGCAAATGGTTCTGAAAAGCTTCTCATTGGTTTTTATACTTCCTGATTGAACCATTTTCACTGAAAAGGGGGGGGGGGGCATACATTTTTTCCAATGAGTGTTTGTTTTTGAAGATGTTTGTGAAATATATAACTTGAGCACTGAAACTTCTTGAGGATTTGCAAACACTACTTTATAAAATGTGAATATAAATGTAGTCACATTGTCTGTCTATATGTGTTATTTATAGTAAGCTCCCCTACAAGTGGTAAAGTCCACTTCAATTATTTATGTGGAGGGAACTGGATGTGTGGGTGTGTCAGGGGTTGGAGGAAACACATAGAGCATCTAGTCAATTTCAAAACACAATGTACAGAATCCCAATGATATATCCCACTGCTTTATCAACACTGTGTCAAACTTATCAACCTGGGAAAGGCAAATTAACCTGCTGTTTGCATGTTCTCTTTATTCCTGCTTGATCTTGTAGTTCTCCTGTCATCTTGTGAACCAGCGAGTTCAGATGCTTCAGAAATGGATCCAGCAGGATGGGTGTGTGCCGTCAGACGGAGACTGAAAGCTGTGCACACACATGCTGTGGAATCTGCAGTTTAACCTTCCTAAAATCAAAACGGATGAGTAATAAAATAAATGTGTGCGCTGATAAAGACATGAGCTATTCAGATGCAAATACTTTTTTTGTACCAGGCTGTAAACTTTTTTCGCTGGAGTTAAGTGTTCAGTGAGATGATTTTTCTTTATTTCATTTGTGTGCTTGGTTAGGCAGGTAGATAACTCAACACTCAAACATCCCTGCACTTTCAGTTATCCTAGGAACTGAGGAGGAAGAATCGATGAAAGAAACAAGCAACAAAAAAAAGGAATTAGTATTAAAAAATCACTGTCAGTGTCAAGGATACTGACAGTAGAAAGAAATGCAACAAAAGAAGAGAGGTAACTGATTGAAAACTCTTGTCTTACAGGAAAACACGTAACAAATCAATGTCCTTATAACATGCATGAATTAGGCAATATTTAAGAATAGGATAAAAAGTAGTGTGATTTTTTTTGTCCTGATAGAAATCCACATGTGAAAGAATTCCCAGCTTAAAATATCTTCCAACCAATAAACTGTTCATTCTAGTTTGAGTAACATTTGCTGAAATACAGTTCCCGCTAAAGAAATAAGAAAGATGGACAAACATGTTGTAGTTTTTGGTCTTACCATGGAATCTATTGTCAACTCCATAAATGAATAATATAAAAGTATGATCATTTTTATTGTATCTTATACTTGATATACCATTCTTCCATTGTTTCAAAACAAAATCCTTAACACACACATAACTTATTTTACGTCTTTTCTCCCTCAATATTTCATTATATTTTTAATTCACTGACTAACATCACATGAGCTATGTAATGCCAAATTTAAAATGCACATAATGTTAATTGTGATTTCCTAACAGTATATTCTAAATTCAATCAGCCCGAAGGCAACTGGATGTTTGTAAAATCACCTTCTATATCAAGCTAGCATTTATTGGGTGTCACAAAGAGATACATTTTTGATTTATGGAGCACAAGATTTATTACAATGTAGTGGATCACATAGCTGAAAGAGCATTCGGCTTATTACTGCATGCTGTTTCAAGCCAGTGTACAACAGCATCAATTATCATAATTATATGTATCCTGAGAAAATGATCTATTTACTGCCAAGACTGTGTTTCAATACCCTAGTAATTCTGACAAAGCTGACACATGACGGTCATTTTGGGATTAGTGGCTGTGCTGCGTCGAACAGAAGTGACTTCACAGCCAAGTTTGTGTCTCTGTGTGCCTGTGCTTGGGTGGCGGAGTAAAGAAAAGGTCTACTGTAAGAAGGATCTGGATAAACATGCTCTATTTATTTTTAAGGAAGCAGATTATGGGCACAGTTACTGTCAGGGATTAAAAACAAAACCATGAACTGTACAGTTACTTCATTTGGTGGTAGATGAACTTCTGGAATTCTGGGAGATGTAGGAAATCACTTGAGCAGAAGGGGCTTGGCAGAAAAGTACCTACTGTTAAATGCACATGAAAAAGTTATTGGATTGGTGGAGGTAAGGTCGGCCAATCAAGATTTTTCACACCAAATTGACAGAATTGTCATTAACTTTTTTGGATGGTTTGTCCTTACATTCTCGCATGACCCTCAAGGTTGAGCCCCTATACTGAATTGAGTGATTCCCTAATTTTCCAATTGCAACATCTTTTAAATTACCTAAGAGGATATCATTACTTTTTTTATTGTAGCATCATTATCCCTCATGTCTAAGGGTTTGGTTTCTGACCAGGTACTTAAAAAAGTAGCAGCATTCCCACTGGAAATGGGTATTCGTTGCTAAGTGCCAATAAGCCAATTTTACATTAGCATTTATCTGAAAGCATTGTTGTGTTTAAGTACAGTAAAAAAACAAAAACAAATCGACTCAGATTGACACTTCAAGAGAGTTTTGAAAGAAATTCACCCAAATTTGTTTTTACAGTTACTATCACAATTTGGGGATTTGAAATGTTTTTGATAATATGCTTTATATGAGCTGATCATTCACCTTCTGTTATTTTTATCATTTTAAAATACTACTGGACTAGCTTAAAAACAATGCATTATCAGAAAGCTAAAAAAAAATCTTTCTTTTGGCTCAGGAGGGGTTGATGTAACAGATGTTTGCTATAGAGAGCCTCTCTGTTTCTGATATTTTACTTCACTGTGGAATCAGCTTGACAACCAATGCAGTGATCCTCATATCACAGAGAAAATGTCGGGGGTTTTCCCTTAAAAAGACTCTACTGACAACTTGTCTTTTAAATGGAAGAAGACAGCGTGAAACTGCCATTTATCTGCAAAACAGACAACAATGTGTTTCTGTTCACACAGATGAGATGAGTCAGCCATCGTCCAGCAGTTATGGGGTGCATTTGATCAAATAACTAATGTCATACAAATGTCTCTGCTAATGTTAAGCTCCTGGCTGCTTTCTGGCATCGACCGCACAGTGTGATTACTATCAGCGGTGTGTCTGCAGTAAATCCCACAACAGACGAGCCCACATGCTAAACGCTGGCCTGAGCACTCCCCCTGGAGACTCTAAAAGCAGACTTAAGTCAAGATTGACTTTCTAAGACCTTGTTATCTTTATTTGGCAGTATCCGATTGCAACTACTGGTCTGCACATCAACCCATCCCCACAGTCAGGGAGTGAAATTGTGTTTTACATACTCGATGGAAATTTGGGCTGCTATCATGCAGCTACTTGGAAAAACTCCAGAGTGTCTTTAGACTGCTCAAGGTTTCTTCATGAAACTTCCACTTTGCCTTTCTCTTTTCACTTCTGTCGCTCTCTGTCAGTCACGAGACAATTATTCTGGGCAGAACTTTTATTTTTCCATTTCAAGGTCTGCACAAAAGGATCCCCCACCTCTCTGTTCGCCTTTCCTTCTAATCTCTGCCTCTTCTTTCTTCCTCATTCCTTCCCCGGTCTGCCTGTCTCCCACTGGTCATGTGCACGTGTGTGTGCTTGTGCGTGTGTGTACAGGCCGGACTGCTGGCGCTGCAGAATTAGTAGGTGAAGTCGAAAAACGGATTAAGAAGCCAGGATCCAGGGAGTTCACTAATGGGAAGTGCTGGCCTGGTTGCCTGTTGCTCCTGTCCATCAGCTGAGGCCAATTACCTTGGGAGGGAGGGGGAGTGTCACATCTGGTCTGGTCTGGCTCAGAAATTACTATTTTTGAGGCTTGTAGGTCTGAAAGAGTCATCACTTAAAAAAGAATTTAAGCAGTCAAAATTATGATTTATAATAATTTGATCCTTTACTACAGCTTTAAGTCTATTAGATTTGAGTTTTTGATTCTTAAAGGAGATTTTGTAGATATTTTTATGTTTATTAGGAGAATAGAAAGGATTTTTTATTTTTTTTGCAGTACATTTTAATCCAATGATTTGATTATGATATTTTCTGACACTTGGCTGTTTTTTCATGAAAATGGAAATAAAACAAAAAAAAAATCTTATCACAGCTTGCTTGGATGTGATCTTTTTAGATGCAGCTGTATATTTACTGTATAAATAGTGTTAACTTCCTTTAAAATGATGTGAATACTATATAAAGTATTGAAGTACGCTAGTTGTTCTCTTTTCAGAGTTTGATGTGAATATGAAAACGTATTATCTGCCTGTTAAACCTAAAGGCACAGCCAGCAGCCAAGTTAAGTCTGCTTTCATCCCCTTTAATCATGACGAGAACCCCTCAGATGTTTCTTGTGACCCTCAGGATGGAGACCAAACCTCGTGTTAAGAACCAGTGGAGTATACTACCTACACTATGGTCTCAACTTGCTCCACACAACCTCCGACCTCGACCATCCAGCTGAGCATTTGAAGTGTCCAGCTCTTCAGGTTGGAAATCAAATCAAACTTTACAGACTCAGTGCAGAGTTACAGTATATTACTGTAAATCAATAACAGAGACAACAGCGTTTCACAAATTCCGTTTTATTCCTTCACAAAGTGTGTACAAAATATATTGCAAACAAATGCAAACATTGAAGTAGAATATCTTTCAGAGATTTTATTTAAAACAAACCCAGTGTATTATTGATCAACAGAAGACAGGTTTTTAATGGGAATTATTTTAATAGAACAAGGTTGTTGATTATACAGGGGAAGATTTCTGAATAATGACTAAACATTACATGGAAAGTGCAATTTTGTCAATAAATTTGGCCATTTTCATGTCCCGTTTTGATAGTCCTCCACATTCATGTGTTGTCAATGTAATCTGGACCTGTGGGGTGAAAAATCATGTTTCAACCACAGAGCAATAACAGCAAACATACCAGAAGAGGAAGAACATTTGGGTATTATACACTAATGGAGTTGTCCGATAAGTCTTTTTTAAGGGGGCAATCATTTAATTTAAGTTTTCACAATGCAGAAATGTTTAAACTCTTCCCCTCTCAAAGCTCCATGATATCATATAATATACATATACAATACTATACATTTCCACTGTAGTCGTAGTGGAGCCAATTTAAAGGAACAGCAAGTCTGCAGTAACTTATGTTTCCATGCATTTAAAAAAATACATCTCATCTGTCATTCAGGTCATGTAGCCAATAACCAAAACATTTCTGATTTCCTTTTTTGATAAAGAGAGGAAGGATCTCACTTAAATTCCAATTCAATTAAAGACATTTTATTGAAACAGAGTGGGCTATAACAATGAATTTTCTAATGACAGATTATTTCAATAGAATATATTATCACACCAGCTGCTTTACAACTCCAACACAATACAGAGCTTTTAGACTTGTTTGTGGAAAGAGCTGAAATTGCTTTATATTAATATGTAGTTATTGTGACTATTGGTTTATTAACTAAAAGGGAGCTTCCATGAGGATATGGTGATGAAGGAATTTCTGGAACATATTATACTCCCTTTCAACAAGTTTAAATAAGTCTCAGAGGTCTCCAAAACATGTCTTTGAAGTTTCTTGCCAAAAATCCACTCCATTCCTGTATTCTATCATACATATAAACCCCTCTATTTCAGCCCTGCTCAGAATTGGCTGTTTCTGTGTCTATAGCTTTAAATGCAAATGAGCTGCGTCTGTCCGTGTCATTATAAGCCATGATGCCATAACCATCCAAGGTAGACTTATCACGTGCTACCCTGAGTGTGAAACGATGGTATATGCTCCTGAAGACGACGTATGATATCAACCTCGTTTTAAGAAAAACTTGGTTTAATCGCAATGTTAGGGAAAAGAACTACATTACCCACGATCATAGAGTGTCACAACAATGTCTTTGATTGGTGGAGCTCACTGTCACCATGGCAATGTTTCCCTCTGCGCCGTATGCAAACGATTGTTTCGCTAGCAGGCTAGCTAGTTAGTTAGCAAACAGTAAATGTACTAATAACCTTGTTATACTGCAGTGAGTATAACTTATATATTCACACAACACAAACTACAACGTAGTACAACACTTGTATTAACACCACTTGTATTAACACCACTTTAAAAACCACTAAAGTCACATTTAAAAAGAAGTTGTATCATTCTGAATTGTGGGACGGGTAGTTCATTGACTCTGAGAAAAAGGCAGAGGTACAATGTGTACATGTTTTTTTTGCAAGTTTTTCAATGCAGTTATTGCGCTGAATAAAATGTATTATAGTCATGAATGTTGGAGTGACTTCTGGTAAACCATTCCAGTCACAGTTGTTTTAGTCTCTTTGGTTTGAAAGCTGAAAACAGACACTACATCAAACGGTTGCTATTAAAAAGCAGTTTAAGCATGCAACTACTCCATAAAACCAAAAAGGGCATCATGATCTCTTTATCTATGCAGCTGTATTGGTGTTGGCTTTTTGTTTGTTTGTTCCTTCTTCTTTTTTTAACTTCTGAAAGAAGAAGCTATTTTCCATAAATCCTGTCTTTATGCTAAGCTAGCCAGGTCCTGACTCCATCTTTTTAGTTGTGCACACATTCAAAAACGATTTTCTTATATCAATTTCACCATGTCTCGCCCTCTCCATCTTCCCCACATTTCCTGTAACTTTCCAACAATCACAGTCTATGAGGGCAATTATAAGACAAGAATATGTGAAAAGAATCTAAAAAAGAATAATAATTAATTTCTTTAAGCTTTGATCTCCATACAGTAATGTTATTTGTCATATTTTTACTGAGTACTTGCAATTATGTAGATATGTCTTTAAGCTCCACCCACTGATGTCTGATTTAACCAATTAGATTGCTCCCAGGAGAGCGGCCATAAAGCTCTGCTGAAAACTCCCATCTTCAAACTGAGAGCCAAGAGAACAGAACAGAGCATACTGGCATATTAATAGATTATTAGCAGAAGCTCAGCATACATCATGTATTTAGTGGAGGCTGAACCTCACTCAGAGAGGGATTTATTTGTAAGTGTCTGGTGGAAAGTGCTGCGGGGGCCCAGAGACCTGTAGCACCGTACAACAGCCACTTTAATAAAGAGTGGATTAGGAGCAGCATTCCTGTTAGAGCGGCCCGGTCCACCACACACTAACTCAGTGGCTACAGCCTAATGCATAGAGATTTTCAGGGACCAGCTTTGTCATATCAACCACTACTTTATATCTCAGGCAGAGAAATTGAGAGAGTGCGTAGTAGGCCCTGAAGTTGTAGGGGGCTACGTAGAGTGGAGGTAGAGTTATTGCAAAGCTTTTCACAAGAAAAACGACGGGATTATGGAATGAGGCTACAGCGTTGTTTTTTTTATCATTCTGACTTACTGAGGGGGTTTCACAACTCTCCAGAACAAGTGATGATTGTTTTACTTTAAGAGTCTGACTTATCTGGGGTTGACTGAATTCAATGTGTCTGTAATCTGTAATTAACCAACTGTTACAAACATATCTTTTTAATCTTCATGATGATACAATTAGCATACAGCCAAAATGCAGAGTAAGTTATTACCTTATTATAAACGTTGAACCATTCTGGGTGATGATTCATCTTCTCTGCCTGCAGAGCCACACGCGACATGAAGCCGAATGCCTGGAAAAGGAGAAACAATCAACTGTCGTGTCAGTGTTTATGTGACTTTTTTGTCTAAGGTTATAAACAAAGTGGAGGAAAAATACAACCAAGTTTCATCCTAATGCAAAAAGTTCAAATAGCAACACAAACAGCATCCAATCTTCTAAAAGTGAGAGTTCAAACACATTTTAAAATGTACTACCCAAATTTGACATGAGGGTATTTCATTTAGCACAAGCTAAAGCTAGATGGACCTATTCAAGGGACAACTTATTTCTTAAAGAAGATTAGATTGTCAAGATATGATGCAAAAACAAAAGGTTTGAAAACCACTGTAGATGTAGCAAACTGCCTAACTGTTGACTAACTAACTAACTACATGCTGACAGAAACAACTGGCATGATCGGCTGCAGTTGCACTTTACCGAAACACTCATCATGACAAAACCTCAGCGTCACTACAGAAGAGTTGTTCTGAAGCTTATTTTTGACAGTACTTAAAAAAAAAAAGAAGATATCTTTCGCAACAACAAAATCACACCGTACCCATTAAAGTAAACTTCTGGTGATAAGATCAAAATTTTTAATTCAAATAACGTTTTTTTTTTGGCACATAAAATGGCACAAAATAGTCGATAAAATGCTCAACACACATTCAAAGCCCAAGGTGTCATCTTAGTTCAAATGTCTTGTTTTGTGCAGCAAACATTTTCAAAACAATAAAAAAGCTTAATCTCACGAACATTAAACGTAACAAAAGAAAATATTCTCATTTGAGAAGCTGTAGTGGCGGAATTTTGAATTTTTCACTGCAGCAAAATGATGATTTAATGACTTGCAGAATGCTTGTCTAATTATCATCTGCTGATTCACAACTTGATTAATCGAATAATCATTGCAGCTTAAAAAAGGGACGTGTTGGCTGACACGGGTCAGGGTTCAATGCTGCAGAGAGAAGCACAAGACGGCCTCTCTGTGCACACAGAAACCTCTCATGAAGGCATGTATGTGCATACTTCCACAACCCTGTCAGGAGCAGACAGCATGCAGACACACACACAGACACACACACACTCTTCATATTTCGAGTTGGCATGTGTCTCTCTCCAATCACAGGCCATCCAGGGAGTGATTATGGTTATTCTAATTATCTACAAAGAGGAGAGTGAAATCCCTCGTCATGCCCACAGTGAAAAGAGGGGAAAAAAATCAGGTAGACCTATTTCAGAGCAATTTCCCACTGCAATCTCAATTAAGCCCCTAAATACTTCCTCCCTGTCTAATTAAATCAACTGAACTGCCATTGTTTACAGGCGGGGGCTTCATACACGTCCATCACCTGACATGGCGAAACAGAATTACTCCCGCTGAAGAAATGCGTTAAGCCTTTTTTGTGTTAGTCCTGTTCTGTGCCTGCATGTGCAGAGCGACAGCTGTAACACGATCAGCAGCTTGATCAAATTGGTTATCAAGGAAACCATCTCCTGATCAATTTAAGTAATTGGCATATTCCTGCAACTTGACCCCACTGGCACCAATTTGGAGTCTGAGGCGGTCTGCGTTTTCTCACTTCTCATTGGTTCTAATGGAGATGGTTAAGCAGCATGTCATGTCAGGTGTTGTTGTTTGAACATGTCCCCTCTTTCTCTCTCTCTCTCTTTCTCTCTCTCTCTCTTAGCTCTGGCTGATCTGCTGCTGAGTAACACTGAGTGACAGCTTAAAGGATTCTGTGTAAAGACTCAAAGATTCCTGCACTTTTTTTCATTTGAATATAAGATGTTCTCTTTCCAGCCTGGACTCAAAACAAATTAAAAAAAATCATTGTTTTCCATTTCAGGACACTGCCAAACATGAGCTGAGAATATGCACAAAGACAGATTTTTACATCAATATTTACACTCGTACGAGATGTTACTCTCTTTGGTGGATCTGCACCATGTGGACGTTTCTGCTGTACAAGATAATTACCAAACATTATTGTTCATCTCAAAAGGGAAATAGCTAAAGCTTGCCATTAGAATGAAACTTTACGATTTCTGTCACTGACAGGCAAGCGTAATGACAAAATGATAGAGACAAGTTCTTTTTGCAGCTGCGACAGGAGGGAGGGGCCTGCAGTGTCATAAGGTCCTCCATTTTTTTCTCTTAAAAAAATGTTGTGATGAAAAAATGTTGAGGAGATATATCTGCATTGAAGTAAAATATCCCATTACATTATTAATACCCAAATGTGTTGAAAGCAGTTATGTTTCAGATACATCCGTGGTCTACATTTATGTTAACCAAGGATGAACACTCGATATCTCAACCCTAAACCTCAAAAGTGCTGTTTAGCGTACAGCAAGCAGCTTTAATTAAGAGAATTGTCACACATGCTAAAAAAGTCCAAGTTAAAACCAAATTGATGTGCAAACAGACCACAGAGCAACTTGTAATTCGGAGGAACAACAAATTTGAAACAGAAGATGTGGAGTTCAGCCTGAGGAAACATGAACCCTTAGAAAAGACTCTTTGAGGGGAGCAAAAAAAAAACAAGAAAAGAAGTAATCTCCCTCTACAAATGAATTGGAGTTGGATGTCCAAAAAGCTTGAAATCCTGTAAAAGCCCAGAAAATGGCGCCCTACATCTGCCTTCTTTAACAGGTGGGGGTCCCCTCGGGGGGCAGTAAGGAGAGCAGTGGGACACAATGCTGGCGAAGTGGCGGGGACTATGCCTGTCTGTCAACTGTAGGTCAACTCAATGTCCTCCACTTGGACCAAACAAGAAAATAAAACCAGCCCTCAACTCCCAGCTGAGGTCTTATGTCAGCAAAGGTCAAGGACTCTCCCTCTCAAGAGAGCTTTGTTTAGCCTGTTTGCTTGTACAGGCCCACACTCTAGAGCCAACAGGTCAGCCATCCATCCATCCATCCATCCATCTATCCATCCAGCCAGCCAGGCATTCTCTCCAACTGGCCCAACAAGCTGTAGCTGTCAGACTCAGATAATTTAACATGACATTACCCAGGCCTCCATCTCAAATAATCAGAAACACCCGACGGCAGACCCCCACTATGCCCCTTTCCCCACATAGCCGCTTCTGAGGGGCCTATTTGGTGCTATTACAGCATGATTGTCATACAACACTGGATGAGACGTCGGAGCAGAGTGGTGTTTCTCTGTCTCATTGCGGCCGTGGGCTAGAATACAGGACTCAGTTTCAAACACATGTGTCTGTTATTTACAGATCGGTTTTCCACCGCTGCCCGGTCCAGGGGCTTAGAAACGGCTGCTCTGCCTTGCCAGGACTAAGTGCATGCAGATTGCACCTACTCTTAACTAGCCTCTGACAGACTCACACATGCACACCCATGCATGCACAAATGCACATATCGCACACTCCAGATACACACAAGTATGTGCCGACACACACATAAAGACTCTGCCTCCATTACACGCCACCATGACTACCCGATGATTACCCTGGAATGAAACCTTCGTTCCTCCACGGCGAAAGTCAAGAATGCTATGAATTGCACAACGGCAGCGGTGATGATGAGGATGACGACCACACCTCTCATGTCTCATTTCTCTTCTTTCCTACACAGCTCTTCAAAAGCATCCAGCTGGCTGAACAAGGCTGCCCACTAAGTTGATGAGTAACTTAAAGCAAAATACAGATAAATACAAAGAAAACTGGCCAAGTCGTTGTTCTGTAGAAAGCTCTGCTGGGTGTGTGTGACTTCATAATCTTCTCAAGTTAACACAGAAGAGCTTCAACTTGACACTCTGACTAAGGCGATGCATGCTGTGAACACTCATTAAGTGACAAATATTCGGTGTTACAAATGTTCACACACGTCAGCTCCTATTTGTGTAAAGAGTGTCATGTACTGCTCAAGCGTGGCGTTAAGGCCGACTTATGCAAACCCTCTCATTAACTGCAGAGTTACCAGCCGGGGCTTAAAAAGACATTGGGCTCCGTCAAAAGGCAACAGACGTCAAGGCCATTTTAGCTTCCCCACGGACTGATAGCCAGATTATCTAACCAACTCCTCTTGGGCGCCACACCTCATCGCTTCCCTCCAGCCAATTTTCACAAGACGAGATGAATGCGGGACGCCACCAGTTCCCAGGGAAAGTTCCAGTTTAGAGACGGAGGAGGGAACTGAACACCGCAGAGCCGATTAACCGGCCTCTCGCTCAGAGTGCCGGTGTAGGGCGATTATGCAAGCATGTGTACATAAATATGAGGGCTGACAAACAATAGATTGGTTATATAATGTCTTTTTAAAGAATTTTAGGAAGGTTTTCATGTTTTCAAGGATAAAAATGCCCAGTTGTCTGTGTTTCTTCCAAAGCGTGTGTGTTATAACTTACTGAAACATTCTTAACAAACCCAAAACTGTCAACTGATCAAATTATTTGAAGCTCTCAAAAAAATATTCAACTCACCACAGCCTTTGCAGAAATAAGAACACTTAGGCTAATGTACAGTATTTTTCCAATCCTCTATTCATAATTTTTGCAAATATATATATATATATATATATATCTTTTAAATTTAAGAATAAGTATTTTATTATAGCACGACAAAAAATGTAGATGATAACATTATTAATTGGAGCTTCAACAAAACTGTTGTTATTCTGTCAGCGACATGAAGCAAAAACTAGTCTTATTGTTTGAAGATACTACAACAGAGACATTTTTCTGTGAGTGTGTGTGTGTGTGTGTGTGTGTGTGTGTGTGTGTAATGCAGGAGGGGGGGCGGCTCTGAGACTTTGGTTTACCCAGGAGGCTCAGGTTTAGTTGTAAGACAACTTATTGAACACAAGCAGAGCGAGGCCCATGACGAGAGGCCGAGACTTGAGGGAGATTTGGAGGGGAGGGAGACCCTGACTGAATATAAAAAGGGATCAGCCTCTGAGAGCGGAACGAAGGAGCAGAGGGGGCTGCGGAAACACAGCAGCGCTGTCTTCAGGCTCAGAATTGGAACTAAAGTACAGAAGCCTTGTGGACACTACAGCTTTTTTTTATACTTGTAATGCGTCATGTTTCATGGTGAACTCCAACTTCCAATTGCTGTTTTTGTCACTCTTTGTAGTATTTTTCCTTATTTTAATTTTGATGTGTGACTTTCCTGATATAAACCTTTGTTTATTATTTCGACCTATTTCTGACACAGATGCAGAACTGTCACTTCCCTATCTCTAATATTTATGTGCCAATTTTGAGTTTATTAAGGCCACTTCAAACACGTCCCTGTCCTATGAATATTACCAAGACTTCTTTAATTTACATCCATGAATTTGATATATGGTTATAAAGAAATCAGAAATGACGACTAAACATTAACAGTAATTAAGTGCAATGCACACAAAGAACCTACCAATCATTGAATATTACAGTTACAACAAAGTACTTCATATTCAATTAGTAAACTTTTAATGTAGCCATTTTAATCCTTCAAAAAAACATTTTTGTAAAATTTCTAGTCCGTGTTTTTACCACAGGAGGTGAATTTGAGCTTTACCTCTGGTGAGACGGTTCCATTTCTGAGCACATGATGATTGACGCTTTCACTGCCTGATTAAACTAGGTTAACTCATTTAATCAGGAATCCCACAATGTTGCTCAAAGTAAAGCGTCATTGCATTTTGATCTGTTGATTAATAGGTATAATAAAGTATTAATCATTATTCAATAAAAAACATTTTGAAAAAAGAAATCCATACAATGTGTGATGATTTTTGGCCATGTCTGTAATTGCCCTTTAATACCTAAACACTTCATATTGAATTTTAAAGAGAAAAGCATCAAATCCATGTGTGGCATTTAACTGATTTTAGAAATTGCTGTCTATTCATTTTTAGTACCAACACACTGATTGTTGAAGAACTTCAAAATCTTAAAAATCGCCAATGAATGTCTATAGAACCTGATGACCTCTAAACTGATGGACTTTCACATTTGCCCATAAAAAAAACATACTGCACTCAAGATATGAATATGAAGCTTATTAGAGCATTCTCTTTTTGTTGTTTAACAAACAGCGTATGCACTTTGCAGAAGGCACTCAAGATAATATCCTGCAATTTTTTTATAGCCTTTGAGTGTTTTTTTTCTCATTGCTTCATATTTGTGGGGAAAGATGGAACGCCATCCTTGTCAGTTTCAGCTAACATAACACAACAGGTGAGCATGTGCAGCTCACCTCTCTTACACAAACTGCATCTTAAAGCAAACCATTTCACTTATGTTACATGTATGTTTCCACTGCATCAAGTGCAGTGTAATGTAAAGCAGATGGTCATCTGTAAACATAAATAACATAAAGCAGGTAAACAATATCAGTGATTGCAACTTAAAAAACAAGCACAAATGCAAACAAAATTTACAGCATTAAACACACACACACACACACACACACACACACACACACACACACACAGATGTTTCCACTTGTGATTGCAGTGATTCGCACTGGCTGAAAGAGTCCAAAAAGGGGATTTTACCTCTCAAACCTTATAAAATATTACCAGATTGATGAGGGAAATAACTCTGCTGACTACAGTTTACCCACATGCCACAGAAAAATGACAGAGCAGATCATAACAGCATCACAACACTTTCCACTTGCTGTAATCAAAGAAAAATAAACTCAAAAAAAGCATATCCAGCTGTCCAATTCTTTTAAAGTTAATTTGTAGCTAAGAGTGGCTCTGTGCTTTGTGTATTCAGTGCCACTTCAACAGACGGCCACTGTGCATTTACAGTTATAGAACAGACTCTGTCGCCCCCTGCGGGCTCAATAGGGAAGGGTGCTCACTCGTATAGAGGGGATTTGTTATTCTCATTATAAACTCTCTGGGATCTGATTTCTTTGGACCCATCAATTGGAGATAAGTGGTGAATGGAAATCAGCCAGCATGTCACTCCTCATCTTCATCCCCCCCTCTCTGGTACAAGCCCTTTGAGAAGAGCCATGAAACTGAGCTCGTTTGTGAAAATGCATCAGAGAGTTGGGAGGAGAGAGAATAAAGGAGGGTGGAAAAGCAGGCAGAGAGACAGGCAGGGGAGAGTTGCCAGCATGTAAAATTGGAACAACATGAGCTCATTCCCCAGTAACATGGGGCGCAGGGTGGGTACGAGAGACAGAAACAAAGACTGAGGGAGAGAAAGATGGGGAAAGAAGGGTGGCAAAGAGCAAGAAAAGAACACATCCACAAGAAGGAATGATGGGGTTGTTAGTGGCTTGCAAACCAGATGAAACATTTTAACCAATTTGATTGTTTGTGAAAGAAATCATTCTGATCAAAACCCCAATTGCTGCCAACTGGAGGCCTGGCTTTTCTCAGGGTAATGTGGCCTGACGTGTCGGGGTAAGAGGAGAGGCTTTAGAGGCAGGAGGAGCAGATGGGAGAGGTCAGCGCCTGCCTCCCCGACTTCAAACACAGGGAAGTGTAAAAACAGACTATTTTAGGGGCTAAAACAACTAACGACTGGATTAGAGGAAGTCCGCTAAGTGGCCTTGAGATATTGCAGTTTACTTCATCCGATACAGTCAGGAAGAAAAGCTCAGAGCTGCCCGCCAGGACTGGGTAAAAGAAAAAAATCATCTTTTAGTCTTTCTTTTACCCACCATAAGTGGTAGAACTGGTATGAAATGCCATATAGGTGACGATAAGTTTGATACTGTTGACGTCACTGTGTGCACTTTTTATTATTATCATATCTTCACCTGTGATGTACATCATGCACGTTAAACTTCAAGTTGTTTTCTTTACAATTATTCTTCATGCATGTGTTTAACACTTAACATTACATATACATATCTGTGGGAGCAGCCATCAATTTTAAGCTTTTAATCAGATCACATCTTTAATCATCAATATGAAGGATGGATCACAGGAACTAAAAGGACTCATTATTACATGAAACGTATGACATGAACACCTGACCATGGGTTACAGTCCAAATCTACAAAAATGATTCTTGAGTTTATCATCTTTTAAGCAATTATTTGAAATGTTATATTTTAAATTGTAAAAATATTGTGTCGAGGCTGTTTCCCTTACAACTCATCAAGAACAGAAACTTATTTTTTGATTGTGTGTTTTCTACATAACCACATTTCTATGCAGCCTATCATGACTTTTGTAGGTTTTTGCACTTTTATCTATGTTTTGCCCCTTTTTTTTTTTTTACTTATTTAAATAATTCACACACACTGTCCCTGGTTACTTTGAAAAGCTCTTGTATTAAAAATGCATGATTCATTCATGATGAATTCATGATGATCATTTGGCATGGATGGATTATTTGGTTAATGCATAAACACAAACAACGATGCGTTTGATCAGTCGCTGTCACTATCCTGTTTTAATCAAGTTTACTGTAGAATTATTTTTACCTTTAAAGGACAATGTGTGACAGTGAGGAGGCGGGACGGATGCACTGACAGTCCATGATGCTGCTGTTATGGCAATGCTCCCTTACATCTTAGCTACGATTGTTTTTTGTTCTCTCATTTTGTTTAGCAACATGCATACATCAAATTGTATGGCTTTTTAGGGGGGGGGGTGTAACTGTGGTTTACTGAATATTATGTCTATTATGGCTTTAAATGTTAATTTTTAACACAGTTTTTAATGTGGTGTTCCAAACACACTCTGTCCTTGCAAGAGTTAAATTGATCAGCTATTAAAAATGGGCAAAAAAAATCCCGCCCTTCAATCATGATCCGAGCTCATTTTTTTAGGGATGCACAAAAAAAAAAATCCATGAACCAAATGGAACCACTGAAAGGAAAGGGGAACCTGCCCTCCGCTACACCTGCAACCAATCAGCATATAAACACAGATGAATTTGTGTTTCCGATGGTTAGTGAGATTGCCTTGTGTCTGGCGGTCTGCATTCTGATCCCCATCAAATGAATCTGCAGACCCCAGCAGAGAGCAGAGACAGATCTCTACCAAAACTAAAAAAGAAAAATTGGGAAGACATTCTCCCCACACTCTACCTGCCATCTGGACTGAAAATACTACAAATACTGAAGCAGATATGACTGTAATACACACACACACACACACACACACACACACACACACACACACACACACACACACACACACACACACACACAACACACATATTATTATGATCCCAGTGATCAGTCATTATTAAACTCAACAATTTGAGATGTACAATTATTTTCATTACACTTTTATCTTCATTTTTTTTCAAAATCTTTCTTACTATATCAACTATTTTAATTCTGCCAATATGGAAAAAACTAATAGTATTCAACATTTCAACTTAAAATATTCTGTTGTGTGTTGATCTCTGTCTGAAATGATCTGTATTATCTTGTTTATATTGCAACTGAATCACCTGAATAACACTTGAAAAAGTATGCATACATATTACACACACATGACAGGGAAAAGGTTGTCAAGTCATACAACTTGCACCTGATAATATTGACTGTAAGCCTTGCGTTCATGTAATCGTTGCCTGAATGTTTTAAAATGTTCTGTGGAGAAAAGGCGTAACACTGTGGGAGAAGTAGCCTACATTATGCATACACACACACACACACACACACACACACACACACACACACACACACACACACACACACACACACACACACACACACACACACACACACACACACACACACACACACACACACACACACACACACACACACACACACACACACACACACACACACACACACACACCTGGTTAAAGGTTTTGAAGTTGAGCTCCTTGAAGATGGCATCTCGGTCCTCCACCTCCACCCAGCCAGTGGCCCTGAGCTCCATCACCATCTGATCCCGGTCTGCAGGAGAGAGCCAGTGGGCATCTGAAGACTGTGGACACACAAAAACTATGCATTTAGCAACATGTCTATTTTTTATATTGTAGTTACATCACTGGAGCGTTATCTGCTCTCCATCTTCTGTGCTCCGGCCAACTTTCTTTTTTTATTATCAGTGCTTCTGGGTGTCTATTTCTTAAGATTTATTCAACCCAATTTTCACGTTCATCCAAATGTCATGCACAGTTAAGATTAAGATCGATTTCAACCTTATTGCAGCAGTGAGCTCAGTGATATTATTGCTATGTCCGCAAGGTGGCAGCCTAGCATCAGTAATGAGGACTCATGCTGACATGCACAGATATTTAAGTTATATTGCCTCAATAATATTTAAACTGTGACTGTATAGCCTACATTTAAAAAACAAAACTAATTCAGAATAACAATTATCAGATGTATTTTTTTTTTTACCCGTAATACTAATTCAGCATCTATTTAATTTGGCCTTACTTATTTGCAAACTCACATTTTCAGTTAAATATAACCTTTTCTGACATGTAACATCACACTTTTAAATTCGGCGCATCAACAAGCAACATACGAATTGAATATCAAATGTTCAATGCTAAAACCACGAAAAATGTTGTCCTTTATGATTCACCTGTCATACTACCAACACCGAATCGAAGAACAGCTCCGGTAAATGATAATGGTAAAAAAAAAAAAAATCATGTTAACTGGTGTTGTCTTTTAACAATTAAGTTTGAAAACGTTAAATTCAGTATGTTTCTAAAGGAGTTTGGCGCACGGGTTCTTCCCCTTTGAAGTGAAGCAGCGCGTCTTCCTTCTGAACTATCGCCGTCGTTTTCGGGAACCAACAAGTTTGCACAGTTGTTGCTTCTCACGGGAGATTACGCTCACTCGTACATAAGAACAGTAAGCAGCAGATAAGATGCTTAGAAATGCTACTGCTAAATGCTAGACTGTCACTGCAGCACTCACCATTTTGGACGAGTTGTTCCTGCAGAGTTGAGCCAACAGGAGACTGCTCAGCCCGAACAGACGGTTACGGGACCATGAGCTGCCCGTCCTCAGGCTAAATATTAACCCAGACATGACTAGCCCTTTGTCGACTGTCCTCATTCTCCACTGTCACAAATTCTGCTCTCTCTCTGTGTGTGTGTGTCCTCCTCCTGTCCTCTCACACATTACCATAGCTGTTTCGTTTACTGCCTGATTAAAACGCCTTATTTTTCACTGTGAGTTTGGTTATGCCAAAATGACTAACACTGTATGTGTGTGTTTCATGTATTTATATGTAACCCTGGCTAAATGAAAACACTACATCAATTCTGTCTGATTTTGTATTATTTATCTTTGAATATAATCTTACTGAACAATGTCTAATTATCTTGTTATATATTATGATTAATTTTATATATAACATTTTGACAGATAGAAAGAGGCATTGCACTTTTAGAATGAGTTGATACACTCCACTGCAGCCTCAGCTTTTACTTCAACTAATTAAAATCAGTTTGTTGTACTTTGGACTTCAGGATAATGACTGAAAGGGGATATGTTATAAAGGCAGAGTAGAGAAACTACTAAGACAGAAAGACAAGATGATACCTTTAGTTTTCACACATAGCTGAAATCACTGAAATGGTCAGAATAATTAATCATTTTTAATCTCAACAAGGTTTTCCTGGTAAATTAAATAGACAGTTAAATTTTTTTATTGTAAAGCACACTGACACACATAGTGCAGTCTTTTTCACCAAAGAACTGACACCAAACCAAAGTAGCCACTGTTTATTTTAAAGACAAACTCAAATCTGAAGATCCAATGACTTGCAGTCCGTTTTCAGTCCTGATGCTCATGTTCCTGTCCTGGTATAAGCCAGCGGATGCTGTCTGTCCGCAGGATGGCGTACAGAGAAAAGCCTACGATGAAGAGGACAGAGAAGACCAGCAGCCAGTCGATGCTTTTCAGCGGTTCACTGGGGAGGGGGCCGAGGCGGTCTGTATCCATCACGTTTCCGTCTGGGCCAGCTTCAAACCCTGGAGAATGTAAACAGTTAATCAGAGAATACAGCACGTGTTGGTAGTACAAATGGTCTGACATTTATACTGGTTAAAATGATGGTCTTTTTGATGGTTGTACTTTCAGAGTGATTTAATGTCTTATTTAGTAGAAAAAGTACAGACGCTGCACACAGTTGAATATGCTACAAGTGAAATCTAATAATAATCCATACAAAAATTGACACTCTATACATTTATTTTCTGTCCCAAAACCTGACTTTAGGCTATCCAAATGTTCCAGACCATAAAGCATCACTGAGTGACTGCACAGAAACAAACGAGACAAGATATATCATCCTTTAAAAGTCAGGCGTCAGATTTAAAATAAACATGAAATGTACACATGAAAAAAAGATATATATGGTTATTTATCTGATAGATCTTCTCAAAAAGGGTATTTCCTGTTCATTCTTGATTTACTCAGCGCTGACATAATGTTTAAAAAGTTTGTTATCTGTAGCAAAGAAATCAGAGCCAGTACACACAGGATTACGCTGAACTCTCTGCTTCCAAGATGATGTTTATAATTATGAAAATTGTAATTAATTCATCAACTGTGGTCTTAACAGGAAGAGGATCATCAAGATGGTCAGCAGCAGGTTTGCACTGCCCAGATAAAGCCAAAACTGGACCCTCAAGGGTTAAATGAACACATTTCACACTTAAAATACTTGAGGTTCAGCCCTGAACCAAACTCATTAATTGGGACTGTTTTCTCTCAGTTTGTACCTGTTTGGTTGGCGATGAAGGAGGTGAGCGTCTCCAGCGTTCTGTCGGTGTGGTTAAAGCGAGCCATGGGTTTGGCCCCCTGGAACAGCAGGATGTTTGGCACTGCCACAGTCCCAAAGCGCGTGGAGAGGCTGAGAGATGGTACCAGACAAAAACATAATCACATAAGATGATTGCTTCTTTTAGATACTCCTGTAACTTGCTGGTCTGGTTTAATATGCAGAATTATACACTCCATAAAACTGTGTTTGAATAAGCAGAAGGACTTAAAATGGTGTTGTTTATTATTGTGTCGTTCTGCATTCAATTCTGATTTGTTTCTATTTTTTAAAGATTATTTTTTGGCCCATTGGCGTTATTGATGGGGAAGCTGATGAGAGAAAGGGAATGCGTGAAAGAGAGAACGGGGTTGATGAATCAAAAGGTGAAAGGTCGCAGAGGAACCAGGAAATAGTGAGAAGAGGACCTGCTCAACCCGCAGAACAGAACGTCACTTCTGTTTTGATTCACACACATCATATCAACAAACATGGGAGGGGACTGAATATTAACCACCCTTCTTGAAATAGCAAAATCCAACAGATAACAATTATGATCAAAGAACATAACACAAGCTGAAAACTTTACAGTTTAAGGTTATATTTTTTTGGTACATCCATTTGTCGAAAAGCTTAACTCTCAGGACAAATCAACACTGTAAGAAACCTCGGTTTATCTTGTCCCCAAGTTAAATATGTGAAGTCATTAGATGATAAAAGGGATAAAGAATATAACTAACTAAACTTCTCTGTTTTTTTTGTTTCAGAGGGCTGCCATCAACAATCAGAGCAATTATGTGACCTAGCAAGAGGCAGCTAGTCTAGGTAGCTAGTTCTGACAGCCATTCATACATTCTAGTTCAATATGATACATATACTTTTACAGGCCATGAATAAGAAAATAAACTATTTGTTCATTTCATTAACTAACATCAATTTCATTTAATACTGACATGATAGGGAGATCACAATGTTCTACATGCAGCAGCAGCCATCGTAAACTGCTCAAAGGCAGAGCACTGAGCAGAAAGAATAATTCATGTGCACGTGCGCCATCAGTCACCAATTCAAGTTTTTTTTTGCCTGGTGAGGGTTGTGTAAGCACTGCTCCAACTTGTGACATTAGAAGCAGAGCTTACACAACCCTTGAAAGGATCCACATGTTAACTGCTCACTGCTCACGGTTAGGGAAAGGAAAAGGAAAATAGCCTTGCTCAGTGACTTTAACCAAGCAGAGAAAAGAACAGTTATTGACCAGGACTAATCCGGGTTTGATTCAAATCCATCTGAAGGGGAGGGCGACTATATGCATCATTAATAAATCAATAAAATAAGAGGGATTTATCTGGTTCCTTCATTATGCGGTTTCCTTGTGATAAAATTCATAATTTGAGGGAAAACATGACACAAAGTGATATACACACTCAGGCCATGACCTGTGCTGAAAGGTTGTTAAGGAAATCTTTAGAAAGGATGTGAGGCAAGAAAGGTTTCGAACTACTACAAACAGCTTAAAGTTAATGCAAAGTGATATTCATTTAGATTATTAAAATAAAAATGCATTGAGAAGAGTTTTTATTTTACTTTACTACACCTCATTTTATTTGAATTATTGAAATACTACAGAGCCTTTTGAATGGCTTCATAGGCTGAGTGTTGAATTTTATGGTTGTTAACTCACTGTAAATAAAAGTCTTCCAGAAGCAGGGTAATGCTTAACTATTTAAAAGTCCCTTTAATCCACTTTAATAAAGTGAGGGAAGTTTCACATCATAACAGAAAAAAACATGATCATTCACCTGCTGTGCTGTGAGGCATCCAGTGCTAAGAAGTGCATGATGGGAAAGACTCGAGGCAGGGCGTTGAAGTGAGGTGCCAGGTTAGCTGAGAACTGACACCAGGCTGTGAAAAACAGCACCACAGAGCACTCTGTGCTGTTAGCATTCAGGAACTCCATCAGGTCCTGAGAGAAGGAAGAACCAACACATTAACCTTGTTTTGATTTTTTTAGCATTACTGCATTACAAGAACTAGTGGATTGTGCATAGTGTGTCATTTAGAAGACATTCAGAGAGTAGCTTTGGGATGTGTGAGTATTAAAGTGCAGTGTGAATACCTGTGAGACGTTGAGGACCTGCACACTGAACGTCTCCATTCCTGTGATGTTCCTCTTATCACAGTTCACCTTGTATGTCTTTGTGGTCTCTGTCGTGTTCTGCTCCTCAGTTGATGACATTTCGGCATGCACTATGTCAAGAGTGACCTGGAGGCAAACATCCAAGAAGAAGTCAGCTTCTGCACTACTGATACAACTTGTGAACTCATTGTCGTGTTGAGTCTAAAGGAAGTTAGACAGGGTATAGAAAAATGAGCTACAGAACATCTTCACGAGGGTTTTTACTTACTTTCAATACTTTCTATAATAATAAAACAACTTTATAATTAGATTTACTTTGTTGATCCACACTGGGCAATTGTGGTGCACAAAGAATTCAAAGAATGTTTTCGATCACATTTTAAGTTCAGTTTATAATTTAAAAAATGGCCATAACATTTCCAACTTCTCACTGTCTTCCAGAGTCGTAGACAAAGACAGAGAGCATATTTCATTAACTATAAAAGAGCAAACCATCACAATGGAAAAGCTGTAACCGGAGAATGAATGGTATTTTAGCTAAGGAAATTAATCAAATAATTAATCAGCTAAAGAGTCAATGGAAAAATTGTCAGCACTGTAATCCAATTCCAGACTTAGCTTGAGGCACTTTTGATCATTTTTAGCATCTTCTTTCGGGGAGAATTAACTGATCTTTTCCTTTTTTCTGTCAATGTTAGGACATTTTAATAAATCACTTCTTTTTTTTAAAAATACAAAACAGCACAAAAATATAAGTATAGTATTCAATTAAAATGTGCATATTGCTTACATACATTTATGACTATTCTGAAATCACCATTTGAGCTCAACAAAATTCACATCTCGCCTGCGAAGGGCTTCTCTGCACTCAAAATAACAATTAATCTCAGTGAGTGTCCATTAGTTGATTAATTTTAGGGTTACAGAACCTCCAGGTAGTGATTGTTTAGGAAGTGATAATATAATAACAGCTATTAGTTGCTAGCAAAAGACCTGTTGTGTGGATTCTGTGCTTGTCTCCTCCATTGATGCTTCTTTAGCAGCCAGAGCAGGTGACCCACACTGCGCACTGTTCTCATCACAAGGTGGGGAGAAGCCTGACTGGAAGTCTTTCACATTTTTAGGGAAGAGGGACTCAATGTTCGATCGATCAATGGGGGCCTCCGTCCCCATCACAGCATCTGCAATCTCGGCTGTCTTAAACTGCCTCTTTGGCAGAGAGCTGAGGTCTTCTGACTCCACAAACTTCGGGCTGTTCTCCAAGTCAGACACTGCATCCTCTGACAGTGTGAGCTCCAGTGACTCATCGTAATCTAAAAGACACAAATTATGGATTAAGCTCAGTCCACAAGTTATTTCTCTTACTGCATCTATTCATTAATTGACTTGTTTATTTATTCTGATAGTGCATCCTTTTACAAGAGCTTCACTTTATGGCTGTTATTCTTAAAATAATCTCTCATAACAAATTAAAAGAGGGTACAAGATTATAAACTGGTGTCCTTTAGAAAGCTGAAAAGCTAAATGAAAAGGTAATTCAGTGAACCAATGATTATAATACTGGTATGATATATGAGTCATGAGTAAATTCAATTCAGTTGATGAGTTGCACCTTAGTAAATGTAAAATAAAACCCCAAAACAAATCCTAGCTTCATTAAAGGTTAAAATGAAATTGTTGTATTTAAGAGGTGATGTTATGTGACATGCACATCACTCATTATGTTAGTGTATCACATCTCAATTTAACTTTTAAAGCGTTTATAAACAGACTACTGTATAGATACTAAATATTACAAATATAACCACAACAGATCGATATTTCGAGCTTTATCTGGTAATCTCATAAGACATGGGCGACAGTTACCTTCACAATAGTAAATAAAACAGTAAGCATGTTTACCAGGAACCTTTTCAATAGCATCTATGTTAAATGTCTTTTGTTTCGCTAGCGCTGTTTAGCTCCAAGATGCTGTCAGTCTCTTACCTTGTGCGGTCGCAGACGAAAACCTCGAAAGCTCAGAATGATACGACACAAACAATAAAGCATATGGGATGTAGAGCTTGATTAAAAACTCCGTCATATTTTTAAAGGATAGCTAGATACAGAAACAGAAGAGTTTCACTACATATTGAGATGTGGAGGGGGGGGGGGATCTTTTTCGGCTCACAGGAAGGACTGTTTCTAATTCTGGCGGAAGACAATAAATGTAACACGTCCAAAGTCGGCTTCTTCTTTTTCTTCTTCTTCGTTGTTTTTTTTTAAATACGGTTGGCATACAAAAAGTTGCATTACCGCCTACCTCTGGATTTTGAGTAATAATACAGTATCCCAGTATTTAAACAATTTAAAAAAATAAATAAACGGGGAAAAAAATAAACTAAATAATAACAATACTTCCCCCCCTCCATCCTCTAACAAGACTCTTCAACCTGAAGGCCTCTCTCAGAAGCCCCTGCACTTCCTCTCAAGTAACCCCAACATTGTTCAAAAACATCCACAACAATCTGAATGATTTCTTATTATTTCCTTTCTGCCTCTGCAGCACAGATTAAACCTTAACAAATAAAGTTGAGATCTTAATTTTATCCTAATCGTTTTGACATATAAAGTCTGCTTCTGAGCTCAGGTTATAAGGGACAAATAAAATATTTTGTATCTTATTAACCACAATTTTACACTTGTGACTTCATGTTTATTATTATGGTTAATATCATTCATGCTGCCTGGATTTGAAAAATATGTTCTAATTATGTTACATTTTACTTTGTACATGGTTTCTTAATGCTACTAGTTATTTTTATTTTTTTTAAACTGCTGTCTGATAAAGACAGCAAAGGGATTTTAGGGCTACTAACTTATGGACATTTAACCATGAGTTTTGTGGCAAATGAGTTTGCTTCGCATCCTAAGCCTAAAAAATACTGCCCCAGATTTCAGCCAGTTCTGACAATCCACAAATTCTGAAAAATGTTGGCACAAGAAACAACGATTTGTGGGCCATTTTACCTACAAGCACAATATCTGAAAACTCTCTCTCTGATTTAATAAGGAGACAACTTGGGGATTTCATCAGGATGCCATGTGTTGATATTGTTCATTGGCTTCATATGGAAATGTGTGACAGAAGTGTCCCACAATACCCTAATCCACGCTTTACAAGTTCCTCAGTAGTTGTGTAAGACACATTGATATACCAGACTTTATTTCCTGGTTTGCCTCCTCCTTCTTTCACAGTATATTTAACTCAGGCGTTAATCATTCCCTCCCCTTTTGCAGATCTACCACTTCAGAGATGGGTGTTATCACCATGTGATAAAATACAAGAGCTGGAAAGCACATACACCGCAGGTCAGTGAACACGCTCAAAGGACAAGAGCACAGATTTGATCTAGAACAGAAAGTGAAACTTTTTTGCATTCACAATCATCTAAACTCTAGAGGACAAATGGCGCAGCAAGTATTTCTCAACCGAGAAAAATGGAGCTGTTCAATTTGCTTGGATCTTCTGAAGGATCCTGTAAGTATTCCCTGTGGGCACAGCTACTGCATGAGCTGTATTAACAGCAGCTGGGATGAGGAGAGGGAGATGGAAACATGCAGCTGCCCTCAGTGCAGGCAGAGATTCACACTGAGGCCTGTCCTGATGAAAAACACCATGTTAGCAGATTTAGTTGAGGAAATTAAGAAAGTAGAACCTCAAACTGCTTTACCTGATCCTGCTTATGCCAGACCTGAAGATGTGGCCTGTGATTACTGCACTGGAAAGAAGCTGAAAGCCTTCAAGTCCTGCCTGGTGTTTACGGCCTCTTACTGTGAGCAACACCTCCAGCCTCACTACAGGGTAGCTCTATTGAAGAAACACAAACTGGTTGAAGCAACTTTTAAGCTCCAGGAGAACAACTGCTCTCGCCATGACGAGGTGATGAAGATTTACTGCCGCACTGATCAGGAGTGCATCTGTTTTCTCTGCTCCATGGATGATCATAAAGGCCATGACATGGTGCCTGCTGCAGCAGAGAGAGCTGAGCGGCAGACAAAGCTCGGAGCGAATCGGCAAGAAATCCAACAAAGAGTCCAGGACAGAGAGAGAGACGTCAAGGTGCTTCAGCAGAGGGTGGAGGCGTTCAATGTCTCTGCTGATGAAGCTGTGAGAGACAGTGAGAAAACCTTCACTGAGCTGATCCATCTCATTGAGAAAATACGCTCTGAAGTGACACAGCAGATCAGATCTAAGCATAAAACCCAAGTGAATCAAGCTCAAGAGCTTGAGCAAAAGCTGCAGCAGTCGATCAATGATCTACGGAGGACAGACATCGAGCTGGAGCGTATCTCACATGCAGAGGATCACATCCACTTCCTAAACAACCACCCCTCACTATCTCACCTGTACAAATCCAAAGACTCTCCGACCATTGATGTCTGTCCTCTAAGCTGTTTTGAGGATGTGGCAGCGGCTGTATCAGAGGTCAGAGATAAACTGCAGGCTGTTCTTAGTGAGGACTGGGCCAGGATCTTCTTGGCTGTGACTGAAGTGGCTATTTCACCTCTCTAAGCAGAGCCCAGAACCAGAGCAGAATTTTTGAGATACTCTCGTCAAATCACACTGGATCCAATCACACAGAGAGCAACATTAATGGCAGCAGGGCAGTTGTGTTCAGATCACTCACACAGATTTATTAAATGGTGGCAGGTCCTGAGCAAAGAGGGACTAACTGGACGGTGTTACTGGGAGGTGAAGTGGAGCGACTACATTTATATAGCAGTTGCATACAAAGATATCAGCAGAACAGGGACCAGAGAACAATGTGGTTTTGGTTTCAATGACAGATCTTGGGCTTTGGAATGTCAAAGTGGAGGACACAGATTCAGACATAATGGTGATGTCTCTCGCCCCCTAGGCCCTAAATCCTCAAGAATAGGAGTGTACCTGGATCAGGCAGGTACTCTGTCTTACTTCAGTGTCTCTGAAACCATGACTCTCCTCCACAGACTTCAGACCAACTTCACTAAGCCTCTTTATCCTGGATTTTGGTTCCCTCAAAATCCTGGAAGCACTGTTGAGTTTTGTGAACTCATTTACACAGTGACAGTATGCTTGGTAATCCTAGATTTTTGCTAGAGAGATTCAAATCTCTTTTTTAGTAGTGTCGAGTTTCACACAAACGACTAGCATCCAAACATACGAATACAAAAAAGAAAATACATTAGGGAAATTCAGGTTTAAACTCTGTTATTGAGAACACATTTTTGAAGTTGTATTGTTTCCATAACAGCAATTTAATGAAATGGTCAAATTGTTTTTTATTTCATTTGGGATTCTTCTTTCTTGTTTGGTGAAACTGATATGTGTGCTGTGTTTAAAGATCATTTTACATGTATACTTTGCATTGGAATATTATATATACAACATGTCTGGTTAAAAGTCTTGTTATGCATTTGGCTGAAAAAATGCAAGAATTATGCAAAAATGACTGACTTTAATTGTAAGACATCTTCATATAAAATGATTTGTTAAATTGTATATTTAATGTTTAGTTCTATACTGCTGTCTGTGCTGCAAACCTTTGTGCTGTTGTAATATTGCATGGCTAGTACACCATAACATTTGAACTTGTGAAAACTGCCTTCAAACGCCTTTACATGAAGTTCCTTTAAGGGAACACTTGAATAAGTCTGCCTATAACCTTGAAAACAACAGATAAACAAATTAATAAAAGTCATATTTTCAATTGTGACACCCATGGTCTTAGAAATTGCACTGATTGCTCTTTAATCTTCATTTAAAAAAAACAAAAACATGATATGATTTTGAATTTGAGATGTATCAGCTGTTTTTTCCACAGACAAATATTACAGGACAATCTGTCATGGTCATGTGTGACTTTGAGTTTTATTACACAACTTTGAAACATTCCACAACAATCATGCAGGAATCAAATGGGAGTAATACAAAGCTTTACAGGCTTAGCCAGTCATACTTGAGGAATTACCAGGCTTCTTAAAAACACTCAAAATGTGAGGTCATGTTTTTTTTTTTTTTGAATCATCATCTACAGACAGTAGACCTTGTGATGATTCAATGCTGGATATTTGAGAAAATAATAGTCTAAAGAATAAAAAGAAAAAAGAAACTATGATATAATCTATCAACTCCTGTGCCTTCTGTCTCTCATGTTTGACTTGAAATATGGGAGAGAAAAAAAAGGAAAAAGTTAATCCACCTTCTACACACACCAATAATCTCTGTGCCAGTTTTGATGCCTTCCTCTTTGGGTCACAATCCAACAAGTCAGTGCTTCATCAAAACTCAGGAAAGAAAGAGAGTTTTGATCACCAAGTGTTTTCCACGAGACATTTTGACTTTTTTTATGTAAGGGAAGCACAGGTGTAACTGTTAACATCGACAGTGTGACAATAGCCTTAAACTGAAGCAGCTTAATGGAGTACAGCCATGGTTTACTCATTATTTACACCTGTGTTAGTCCTACTGTGACATGTTCAAATGTCTTTTGTAATAAAAAAGTGCTCTCCTGCCTCCAATGCATACCAGCATGTTTGACCCCTCAGGCTTCACTTGAGTGGATCCTGAACAAACCCTTCAGGATGTGACACATGTAAGCTAACCCTCAACAACACATGTCAATCAAATATCAAAGATGGCTGTGTCAAAATGATATACAAAAAGAGAACTATGGATATAAATATGAAATATAATGACGTAACTTTACATTATCGATGTATCATTTACAATGCATTCAAAGAAACTGACATTTCATCCCTTTAGATGTGACAAGTGAACATTTTTTCCCCCTCATACAATCGTCTTTTATGGGATAGTGGTCTCCAAGTGCTTCTTTGTTGACATGTGAAACAGTAACTCTCACGGTATATGGTTATTTTGTGGGACGTAGCGTCACTTTTCAAATCAAACAGTGTATTAGTTAGAGGACGTCATATTCTTTGGTAAAGGAGGGTGACAACCATGTTTGTCTGTGACACTTCAGTGACCTCTGTCAACACCGCACACATCAACAACAAGAAGTGGCAGAAGGCCTTGCACACACAAGTATAAAAATACAGCCATAATAAAAAGTGATAGTATCAAAGTTTTCACAGTACAATACACACATCAAATTATTGCACCAAACTGTACTAATTTTATCATTTTTCAACGAGAGAGCAACTCAGTGAAGCTTCAGCGGCGTCTTTCCTCTCCGGGTTTGAAACGTCCTTTTACAAATAAAACTGCTAAATGAATACTCATAGAGGAAAGGTTTTAGATTCAGACTTTAAATAATAGAAACTTGACTATAAGTAATGGACACATAGTCATATAGCCAATCAGTTATGAAGGACTGAAATCCTGTCAGACTTGATGTAATCTACATTATTTACGCTGCTTTAACATCAACCATGCTGACAAACTGTTTGATCATTTCTGTTCAGCCGGTTTGCACGGCATGCTTTCACATTTGAAAAAGAATCAGCGTCCTCAACAGTCAGATTCAAGTGCCAACATAATCCACAGCAACATCAAAAGACACATTATCAGACTTAGTCATTTAATGAAGGAAACTAAAGTTGAAAGCTTGTTTAGGATACATTTGAGATGTTGAAACTAGAGAAATTAAATCCTAAATACAAAATTATCTCATTCTTACCACTAAGTATAATCTTTGCTAACAAACAATTTTTAAAGGATGTTTCTCTTCTGTTGGTCTGCGTTTTAACTCACATTTTCTGTTGAAGGAACAGCGCCACCTGTCTGCAGATTTCCCACCGATCATAACCTGCAGGCTGGGAAGACTGTGAAAACCAAATTGCCCTTTCTCCTTTCTCTTATGATTCAGCTTTGAAATATCATCAAAACATTGTAAGTAGCCTATCTTTTTTTAAACCTATGAGCAGAATGAAAAATAAGACATTTGAGGCTTAAGTTGGGGAAACTGTTGGCACACAAACACCACATCAAAGAAATGCTTTCAGTACAAGGTGAACTGCCTCATCAGTTCCAGTCAGTGCATTCAGCAGCACATTCTTTACAAACAGGATATTTTTAACATCAATCTGCTCCTTTTCTTAATTCTCATTTTGTTAAGCAAAACATCTGCCCTTGTTTACACCACATGATGCTGGTTTGGGGTATAATAATGACACAGTATTACTCAGGGTAACAAAGCCTCCCTACAACTAAACAAAGTTATAGGTAAAGCAACAAGGTAAAGCAACTAGGTAAAGCAAGGTTTAAATCCCCTCAATATGTTTACTGGCCTCATCAGGCAAGATTTTGTTGAAGGACTTTTGCCATATTTTGTTTGATTGAAAAACAATCACAAAATGACAGAAAACAAACCTTTCGAGAAGAAACTCTAAAACCAAAAGGAGAGAAATATCCTGAACTGAACTTAAATGGAACTGATTTAAGATCAGATTTTTTACAAGTAGAGTTCCTCAGCTTGTGTTGGGACAAGTGAGTTACTACCAGTAAATGTTTTATTTCACTTTTAGAAGTAGAAATAGTGTACGGAGGCTTTAGTCCTCAATGGAGCGGCCTTGGGTTTGAATCTAACCTCCACACTTTGCTGCCCGTTATATCCCCACTCTCTCCTCTCTGTTCAGCTGTCTAATAAAGGCAAAAAGTCCCAAAAAATAACTTCAAAAAAGAAGTAGAAATAGTGTGTTGCAACCTTATATGAAACCCAGGCCATTAAGAGCTGGAAAAAAAAAATCAAAGGACGTTTTAAAATGTGGATGAAAAACCTCAAATGTTTCTTTACTGGAGAGCAATCAGGCATCATGCAAATATAAAAACACTCTATCCGAATGTTTGAGAGCAAACAGGACGACCAGGTTCCACACTCTGGGGGGTTTGGTAGGTTTGAAAGAAGCAGGAGCTGGTATTGAGTTGCTGCTAATGTTAACGCAGTTTGTGTCGTTTTACACCTTTTGTAACAATAAAGACAAACAACAGTCCTTGATAACAGTGTTATTAGTCACAACATTCTGCATGTTGATTCAGTCACTTTGATGATCTGCATGCACACATAACTTGTCGACATTCTCAAGGTGACATTCACAAAGTGAGAGAGTTTAGTGATGAATCTTGATCAGAGTGGAAAAGGATGGATTAAAAGATTATTGTGATTTCAGTTTTCGGGGTGCTGTCAGCCTGGAGGATAATCTGTACATCTGTCTTCCAAGTGCCACTGAGCAAGGCACTAGACCCCCCACCTCCCCTACACACAGCTCCCTCTTGATTCTTTAAATGAAATGTTTAAATCAAGAGTCAAATTACCCTTTTTTTTCAAATGTGACACACAAAAAGGTGCTACATAATATACCATTTTGTTATTTAAATTTCCAGCAAATCTTCCTGTTTCATGGAGAGTGCTGCAGCGTGTCCCTCTTCCTCCTTCCTTCTTACTTTGGGAGTGTTTGTTTAAAGAACAAAAATGTTCAGAAACATAAGTTAATATGTATTTCAAGTAAAGTTGGTATTGGTTTGATGCAGATTTCACACAAGTGTTGCTAACTATCTTCTCATGTTGTCCTTTGTTTGCAGAATAAATCTGCTTCAAATGATTTTTTTCCTACAGCGTTTAAATGCTACATAAAGCACAACAAAAATCAAATGTATGATGAAAACCACTACTACCATAAGAAAGATAAAAGCCCCTTGCTCAATAAACAACTGTCATTCTTTTTTTCTTGGTACACAGACACCGAAAAAGTGAAATTGAACCCTCAACTCACTTTAGATCTCTGGCTGCAGCACTGAAACCTAACAGTATTTTATCAGGTGGCAGGCACACAGATAACACCAACACGAATGATAGAAAATCTCCTCCTGTCTGTCTCGCAGCAGATTGGGAAAAATCACACAATCACCCCCAGCATCTGGCAGGAAACCTGTACACATGCGTCTCTTATTGGAGGACGAGTAGAAACAGAGTCAAACGTCTACTCATTGGCTGTCTTCTCTTTGCAGGAGGGTTCACAGAGGATCTCTTTGTGTGGTATCGGATAGGGAAAAGCTGCTCCGCTGCAGGTGCTACCATAAGCCAGTTTGTTGAGACGTGAGAGGCCCTTGATGCTGCCTGGAGGCCGACCTGGGCTGACCTTGTACCCCGCTGCTCTGGTTGTACCCAGCGGCCTTCCGGGGCTCGTCTTGAACCCGGCAGCTCTAGTTGTACCTAGGGGTCGCCCCGTGCTGGTTCTGTACCCGGCTAGCTTGGTGGTTCCCAAAGGCCTCCCGCGTCTGCCCGTCTTCCCGACAGCCTTGTTCTTCTTCTTTCCGTCATCCGGTGCTTGATCAGTGCTCTTAATGCCGGGTACTTTCCCAGGCGAGCGGGCGTCCACCCCGAGCATTTCCTGTCTCTGGCACACCATAGGCTTGTGGCCATGGGTGGACAAGGCCATGGGGGCCAGCGTCATCTGGAGCGCCGACGGAGGGGGAGGAGGGTAGAACTTGTTGGGCTGGGAGGTGCACAGTTCAAAGTGGGAGGCCGGATGGTGGCTGTCTTCTGCGAGGCATGACGGCCTGCTATTCATGCAGAAGTCACTGCTTGTCACCTGACGCATCATCTTCTGCTGGGGGTCAGAAATAAGTGTGAACTGTGTTATTGTCACACATGTGAAAAAGCACTAACATGTCTCTGATTAGCACAATGCTTGGTCACATAGAATGAAAGTGATGACAGAACCATTGTTGACTTAATCCTCTATTCAACAAGAAAAGTGAGAATATTTGAATATTTTAACCACTATAAAAATGAAACCTGACCTAATTACCTTTAAGAGCAATTTGCCATCGCAGTGCCACTTCTGGTAGATAATGGTTACAAAGGGAGCAACTACACTGGTTACAAAAAGGCTGTTCATATAGTAGCCTATGATAAAATGACTACTACTATATTTTACGAAACTTATTGCACTTTATATATTCCTTATCCATTTTTAATCTCAATAACAACTCTTGAGTCTGTGTGTTAATGTCTTACAAACACCAGCAGCTTTTTTTAAAACATGATTGGACGACAAACTATGCACTTGTTGTCTCAAACCTGAAATGAAACTAACTCAAAAGAAAACAACCATAGCTTGAATTTATGTTGTATCAATAATCCTAAAACAGACACGTTTTTAAAAGTAGCAGCTGCAACCCTATTTAGATCTTTCAAACTCAACTGGTACAACAATCACATAGAAACATGTTTTCTTATTTCTCAATGGGTTTTCATCACATTCACTTTTTTTATAGATTGTGTCAGGAATCAATTATAATTGCAGTTACCTAGAAGGCTTATAGTTGTTTTTTCCCTGATATTGTGCTTTTGTGTATTTCTGGAGCCTGGGCGTCCACACCTACAGACTGGATCTGTTGGTTTGTTTAACCCGATACCTCACAGGAGTCAGATTAAACAGGGTCAATGGTAAATTACCCAGTTTTATCAGAAAACACTTTGAATAAACCGAACCTATGAAGACATATATTGCATACATGGAGGTTGGGTAACCTACAGGTCTTGGGTATAAGTCCTTGAACAAACCAAGTTGAAGTGGTGCTGAAGTGCCTTTGAGCAAAATCCTGCAGCTGATGGTCTGCAGCTGCTGACCCAGACCCCTGACATAGGGCACTATGTTTCTCTGCAAGACTAGAATTCTATAAACAAGAAGCTAATAACAACTAATTACAAAATCTAAAGTGCCTTTCATTTGTATCAACAGCACTCATAACTAATGAGGCTGGATGTAAGGAGGTGTGTTCTTCACTATAACATACACCACACTGTCAGTAGTAACACTCATTCACAAAATGTATTCGACATCTTTGCGTAAAGACAACAAACCCCCCCTCAGTGTCACTTTGTTCATCATGTTCAACACAAACATCTGTATGAAGCAGCGGTTTAGTAGAAAGAGGTTTAAATTGTTGTTGAAAGCGGAAAACTACGCAAATAACCAATTAGACTGCGCACATCTAGGCTGGCATAGTGCGTCTAAAAACATCCTCTTGCCGCCAACATGAGCACTAACATTACTGTACCTCGATTGTTTGCAGATCTCGGACTTGAAAGGGTTAAGGAGAAAAATGATCTTTCATCCCTCAAAGCGCGAGTCGATCCATTTTCCCCCAAAATAACTGCTCACCACGGGGTCATCTGCTCGCTAACGTAACCTCAGCACATACGGGCTGAATCGGTGTGAACGTCGCCGAGAGGTTTTTGTTTCGGCTGGACGTGTTTTTTTTTTTTTTTTTTATCTCCCAGCTCCAGAGGTTTGGATTAGAAACGCAGCCATTTTCCATTAAAAATTAATAAGACGGGAGGGCAGTCTGAGCATGCGCAGTGCACCAAACAGGCGATGTGAGGAAGAGGTTGTTCTACTTCACTGCTAAACCTCTGACATTAAAAAAACAAAAAAAAATCCGTATTTACTCCAAAAAAAAAAAAAAATACAGAAAACTGTTCATTTATCCAAAAAGCGGGAATAAAGCTGCAAAACTGCTTTAAATCTAAACGTCACCGTACTGGAATTGAAACACAATTCGGTTTTAATGTTTATCAAACAGCACTTTCACCACTGATGAATAATATACAAACGAACACTGTTGAATTATTTAAGCAGTCTGTCAGGGTACACAGCAGCTACATTATTTGAATATACAAACAGCTAAACAAATCAAGTCCGTTTCTTTAGCAACATGTTTTTATTGTGAGGAAAAGTAAAAACATATTTCAATCGAAGATCTCTTTATAATAAAGAATATTTTTGGTATGTTGCTCCTTCATGTTTACAGGAGGAAATCTGAACCAAAAAAAAAAATAACATGAAAGAAAATGTCTAATATTTAAAAACATGTTACAGATAAATCAGCGCGTAATTGTGGTGGCTCAATGACACTGGAGGTCAAATGAACATCAAACATTTTGAAACTTAATATGTGAATAAAATTACAGGAAAGTCAAGCAAAGAACAGAATAAACTTAGGAAAAACAGAGAAACTTCACTTGTGTAATTGAAGGGAACATTATAAAAATATAGACTAAAATATCCTGAAACCAATTTGATGCCAGTGGAGAGACGACAGGAGACTGTTGAGCAATGGGCTTTCCAACAATGGAAACTTCCATTGGGCCTTGATTCCTCCTCTACAACACTTTGTACCGGCCTTTGCTCGTTGGTTGGTAGGAATTTTGCTGGGGGAGGGGGGAAAGGAGGGAGAAAAAAAACAATAAGCAACACTTTTTTGCAAACTCATATTTCTGGCTGTAAAAACCTACTGCTACAAAACGACTGGATCAGGTTTGGTATTTTCCCTGATATGAGCTGGATTTCCAGTACTGCTTGGTGTATAAAGTCGAAGAAGATACTTACTAGTCTGATGAGTTCTTCCTTGATCAGCCGTGTAATCTCTGTTTTGGCTTTCTGCACAGCCAGTTCATTTGCACCTAAAGCATCAAGCACAAGTAAACAGGAAACGTTATATGAAGTCACACGAGTCAAAAGGTAGTCAAATATAAAGTATGTACTTTTTTTTGACACATACTTTCAATAGCCAGGTAAATCTTGCGCTCCCCCTCTTTAGGCTCTTTGCCTGGAGGGAAATATGTTCCTCTGATGGTGATGGCAGCTTCAGAGTATTCACCAATCCTCTGCAGAGCTTCTTTAGACGTCACCTTCCACCTGGCCGTCTGGAGAAATCAGAATGAAAACCATTTTAAGTTATTTTTTGAAGCACTGTCAGAGGGAGCCTGTCTCTTTGCCATCACCTGCTTCACTGTAGTTGTTGTTCATATAACATGACATCACGTTTTAAATTAGTAATGGACATTAAATGTTGAAAAGAAGTATTATTTAGTTTTTAATCCAGGAGCTGTAAAATAAGACTGATCCTGACCTGAGGGAAGTCATTGATCTCCAGCTCCTCTTCGTATCTCTTGACAGTCTCGGCTGGCTCGGCCCCCTGCCGCTCCTCCTCCAGCTTCTCCACAGGCGTGTAGTTCAGCTTGGCGTTGATTTTCTCCGCCAGCTGCTCTGCGATGGTCTTCGCTGACACAGAGGGTGTCATGATGGTGCCGCCTCGCAAGATGGCGTTGGTGGCTTGCTGCATCACATCCTGAACAAGACGAAAAAGATAGGTTTGACTGTAATTGGTCGATGAAGAGGAAACTGTTATTGCTTAAAAAAAAAAAAAACATCCAAAAATGACGACGTAATGCATAAAGAAAGCAAAAGCTACAATGCATGTCAGAGAAGAAGCTGATGAAAGCTGCAACAGGAGAGACATTTCCAGCTGGAGACATTAATTTATTAAAGACTCTTAATATTGATTTTTTTGTCTCCACAGAAGCACCTAACTCAGAATTTAGTCAGGTTTGAATGTTGAAACAGTAAAACAACCTAACTTGGTAAGTCTACAAAACCATGACAAGTGGAGATAATTTTGATGTTTTTTAAATTGTTTATTTACCCAGTATGTTACTTATTTAAAAGAGAAATCAGCTTCATTCAGTGTCTCCTAGTTGAATTCATGAGTTTGTATATTTTGAAGAATAGCAGACAGCCCACCCTGACACTTTAGAGGTAAAAAAAATAAAAATAAAAATCATGCACCTTAAAAACATGATGTGTTACGAAGGGCACGGTAGATTTTGCACATGCAAGTGAGTAAACATGATTTGCATGGATAGTAGTTCAAATAAATACCAGCCAGGCCCTTATCAAGAGCCTAAACGCTGATGCGGAAACTGAGTAAAGGTTCACTTTGTGAACAAATCTAATGTTCAGAGATGAAGGCATATCATCATCTTTTCTCTGGCATTCCACATGTTGCAGGGAACATGAACACATAACTTCATCTGTGTTTGGCCTACCTGAGCCTCGGCACCCAGGTTCTTCTGAGCATTGATCTTCAGTGCCAGCCTCTTGGCCATCTCCAGTTTCTGGATGTTTCCGGCGGATGTGGGTCCGAGACCCGGCAGTCCTCCAGGGACAGCTGATGTGGTTGCAGCTACTCCTGGAGCGCCGGCGGCTGCCCCGGGTGCAGACATATCCTTCACTCTCTTCTTGGAGTTGAACATGCTCTCGATTTGCTCCTCAATCTGAGTAAGAGGGGAAGAGATGAGACAGGTGTGAACAAAGACACTGGATTCATTAGTGTGATAATGTAGCTGTGGACTCCAGTACAGGGAAAGGCGACAACAAGTAAACCTTCCTAAATAACGTTTAGAAAATGTTGATTGATGTGTCAAATCCAACAAAATGTTTGCCATTTTAATGAACTTTTTAAAATTCATGGAATAAAGAAATCAATGTAATCGTTACTCACATCCAGAGCTCCATCCTCATCATCAGAGTCCTGCAGTCCTAGAGCAGCTTTCTGCAGCTTCTTTCTCTCATTAGCTAAGGCATGCTCTGTCTCGTCAAACTTGAAGCCTTTCCCAGAGAAGCCACTGCTGCTCTTAATGGTCTTTCCTTCCTGCCAGATGAAAGTGAGGGCCAGGAAGAGCAAGAGAAAAACAAAGGACAACCATACAAATTAATTTCCCATGGATCATTCCAAAAGCAGTGCAAGGATGTTGTTAATAAGGTTTATTGATAATAAAGGTCTACTAATTGAGACACAGCTAATTAAAAACATCTGTGATTATTTTAAGATAATGACTTAAGCATTTTAGGCAATCATCAACAACAAAATGGAAGTAATGAATGGATAATGAGTGAAAGATAAATGGGATCTATGACTATAAAAAGGTAGAGACATCTGACTTGGCCAACAAACTGGAAGGCAACTTTTAAGTCAGGTAACCGCTTCCCTTTCCAGCATTCCCGAAACATAAAATTCCGGGTAATGACATCCATGAAAATATCATGTTTGAATATCTGATGAGCACACGCTGTAAAACCTGATCTTACCGCTTTCTGCTGGTCTTTGAAGGAGGCCCAAAGCTGCTCCAGTTCAGGCGGGACAGGGGAGCCAGACAGCTCCAACGCTTTGATGATATCACCAGCGTAACGAACCTGATCCTCTGTGATGAAGGTGTAGGCGAAGCCCTGGAAGACACAACAGAGAGCATGTAAATATAGAAACTATAAGTGGGTTTTTATTTCAGAATCAAATGCTTTGATTTATCCATCCATCTTTAGAGTCCAAAAAGGTACTGCTGCCACTTCTCTGTCAGTGCTGGAATACGATGATGTGTTACACATGCACACCTTCTTCTGAGAGCTTACATGCTCTGAACACTATATCATGGAGCTTTGAAGTTTCACTTGTCATTATTTGTTGTAGGCATGTGTCTTCTTTGTCCATTTTAGTCTATTTTAGGGCGCCCTAACCATTGCGCCACCAGCGCGCCCCTGGTCCCAGGATCTTTTCTTACCGTCTGTTCCAAAGGTCAGAACTGAATTTGGGAAAAAAAGTCTTTAAGTTTCTGCTCCATTGACTTGGAACGACTTACAAAAAGAGCTGAAACTTTATGAGCTGGTCTTGTTAGATACTTTTAAGAGGACGTTAAATGACTTGGAGGCAGACAAACCTAGCTTTCGATGTTCTGATATATTCATTACTGTAGGAAATTGACAAATATTTGCGGTTTTAATATCTTGTTTTGTGTTAACTAATTATCTTGTAGTATGGTTGCATGCATGACTGCTTGTTGTTTGTCAGTAACTATGTTCACTGTGCTGCTGCCTGTCTTGTCCAAGACACTTTTGAAAAAGAGATTTGAAATCTCAGTGAGGTTTTCCTGGTTAAACAAAAGGTTGATTAATAAATATAAATCAACCATCTCAGTCAGCTCAGACACTAAACCACAACATCATTTCAGCTGTAGGTTGTTCACCTTGTTGCCTGCTCGGCCTGTGCGTCCCGCCCTATGCACGTAGTCCTCGTAGTGGTTGGGACAGTTGTAGTTGACAACCAGGATCAGCTGCTTGACATCCAGGCCTCTGGCTGCCACTGAGGTGGCCACCATCAGGCGACAAGCTCCATTCTTAAAGTCATTGATGATGCTGTCTCTGTCGTACTGATCGATTCCTGAGAAGACAGAAGGAAAGGCGAACACATCCAGGTTAAAGAGCAGTCACAGCTAACAGCTTTTTAAAGAGGTTAGGAGCTGAGGCAGGAATAAGAGCATGTGATACAGAATGATTTTAATACCTTTGAATCTTTAGTATTTTCACTGAAAACATTTACACTTGAGATGTTATAAAAGTACAAAGTGACCCTATTGGCTGTCAATAGACAAAAAAATGGCACTATAGATGAAACATTTCAATGTAAAATATTGATTTTAGGTTCCTTATATAGAAGGAAATTGTAAGAATACTCGCCAAAAGCACAAGTTACAAAATATCTGTTGCTCTTCACGACAGCATTACATTCTAGCTTTTTTCAGGTCAAACGAGCTCAAAAAGCTAAATAAAGAGCCGACTCTGATTCTGCAGTTCATCATGCAGATATGAAGCGTCCTCTACATTTTATCTGTGTAACCCATGTGAGCCCTTACCTCCGTGCAGTGACATGCATGGATATGAGGCTTTCATCAGGTCTTTGAGCAGTGCGTCTGCATGCTCCTGTTTGTCCACGAAGATGATGACAGAGCCCTTCTCCTGGTAGTGGCCCAGAATCTCCAGCAGCTTCAGGAACTTTTTGTCCTCGCCAATTACCAACTACAAAGACAAATGCAAAGGAAAAGGAGAGGAGGAAATAATTAGATATGAAAAGTCTAATTTGGACTAATGAATTTGAAAAAAGTCTTTTAGATGTTAAAGTAAAGTACGGGCAATTCTGAATTAAGAGTCTGTCAAGTTACACAGAAACCCTTTGAATGACTAAATTATATCAAGTTGATGTGTGAAAGATTTAATTTACCACGTGCTGTTCCACATCCGAGCAGACGACACTGCGGCCTCCCACCTGGACCTCAATAGGCTTTGCCAGGATCCTACGAGCCAGTGCCTCCATGGCTCTGGGGAAGGTGGCTGAAAACATGACCGTCTGACGATCTGGACGCACATTGTCCACAATACGCATCACCTGAGAGGAGGAACCATGTGTGAAAACCACAAGGTTAGTGACTTTTCTACTTGGCTGTTGTGTTTCTGCGTTACTTGGCCGCGGGAATAAACGGGTTTACGGTCGCTTCTTTAACTCGAATCTCTAAATATTAAATGATGTGCATGAAATGAGAGGTACACGTGTCGTGTTATTTTCAATGACTGAATAAATTGCCCAGAGTGTATAAAAAGAAATCAACATAATGGTTGATTATCCCTGAAGAGACTGGGGTGACGTTGAGCTATGCTGTTACTCTTCTGAGAGGAAATGAGCAAGTACTGGTGTGTCTGTGCATGTGTTCATTTATAATTCACACCTCGGTCTGTCCTGTGGGTTTGTGGCTTCACACACTGAAATGAGATGCCTCAAAATAAGTTTTGTTCACAAGCTAGGATTGCTTTAAGCAAAATGCGGAAAGTCTGAATATTGGTATTTACATACGGCCTCCAAATGACTAAAACCATCTCAGACTAAATGGAAACATTAACATGGTGAAAAAAATAGATTTCCACTAAAGGGGAGTCAATGTTAAGACATTTTGTTTCTACAAGTGATTCCATTTTTTGTGGTTTAACTTAAATATTATTCACTTTCATTTGTATCTACATCACTTCAGTAGAAAACAATCCAAGATATTTTAATTTAGGTAATATTAGAATGAGGGCTGTCAGCTAGTTAATCACAATTAATTAAGGTCTGAATGCATTATTTTATCTTTTTTTATTTTGTCCCTTCAGACACACCATGGATAAGCCTCAGCAGTGTCTCCCTGTAGTCACAGTGATGGAAAAAAAACGACTCTTCTGCATCTTTGAATGTCTCATTTCACTTTAAAAACGTTTTAAAGACAGCTCAGCTGACGAGTCAAAGGTAATATCCACCTTATGACATCAAACATTTGACTTAATTACCACTCCCTTTGGTTGTTTTCATACAGAAAAAGGTTTCTTTTTCTGTGGTTAAGTTAATGTCGTAACCTTCAACCAGAAGGTCCTTACTTTATTTCAAAATAAAAGCAGGGTTGAATTCAACAGCAAGTAATGTACTCTCTGCTTAAGACAGAACAAAAAAGCCAAACAATATGTATTTCTAAATAAGAAGTAATGGAATTTTAAACATGTGATTAATTGCGATTAACTATTTACATTTTGTGTTTCATCACGATTTAAAAAAGGTGATTGTTTGACAGCCTTAACTAGATGACTTTCACTTCTACTCAAGTCAGTTTTTGGTATGATATCTGTATGGCTTTCAGGTACTTCATCCACCACATATAGCAAAAAAAAAAGAATCAGAAACAGTGAAATTAGGTATCCAAAAGTACGTATGCCAAAGTGTGTATGCTTTCGTAAAAATCAGGGTGACACCTACCTGTGGCTCGAAGCCCATGTCAAACATCCTGTCTGCTTCATCCAACACCACATACGTAGCTCGGCGGAGGTTAGTGACTCGACCTTAACACCAAGGGAGAGGAGCATGAGAAGAAACGTCAAGAAAAGTCGCATCCTGCTTTCTTCAAAAATCATGAAATTAATCTACCAACCACAAAGAACTGTTTTACAACCAGTTTGTATTACTTGATAAAAACAAGGCTTCCTGACTTGTGCACAGTCTTCTGAGAACTACTTTCAACTGGCCAGGGTTTCATTTGAATTTATACTTTAAATGTGTGTTTTTTTTGTTATCTCAGCTCTTGCGTACCATCTCAGGGGCATGAGGGACCTGTAAAAGTCAGAAAAGAGCCTCAAGATAACATACAAGAGATGGAGGCCCATCAAGCATTATCTGACCAAGCGCCTTTTGACCTACAAGGGAAACATATTACAGATTACCGCGCATGTGTGGAAACAACAAAAACCCCTTCTTTAAAAAAAAAAAAACTGTTCATGAAATATTTGCAGAATGCAGAACAAAAAGGCTTGTCAAACATTACCCTGATAACATAAACAGATTTGAATTATTCTTCACTTTGTTATGCAAATGCTCAGAAGCTTACATGACACTACTGGGAGGTTTATTTTTCCAAGAGACAACACAAGCTTGAAATAAAAAAACAATCAGAAAAGAAAGAAGAAGCTTGATGTGTGAGAATAGCAGGAAAATAGCATGATGTGCCTCGGATACAAGATAAACCTGTGTGCCTTTTGTTTTTTTCTAAGCAGTTTACATTAATTCATGAGAGTATGTCTATTGTTACAACACTGGTAGAACCCTGCATGCAAGCTTGTTCACTTACTATAAGAAATGACAGATCCTGACAGACTCATGTTAAAATACATTCATCACATTTTGATCCTCTCCGGCTTAGAGTTTGAGGAACCACGGAGGCAGCACCAGGTCCACCTACCTGCACTTCTCCTGTTCTTCAGGAACGTGTCTTGTAGATTTGACTGATCCCAAAGGTGGTCAAATAATGTTGACAGTTTAGTAAGTGGCACTGGCTTGGTTCATTTTGTTCTTTATCATAATGTTACATTCATCCCATGCAAGGTCATCAACAAAAGGCCTACAGGGCATCAAGAAAGTACGTTTGAATGATTCTACTCTGAGAATAAAGAGAGGGAGAGGGTCAAGGTGTGAGAACTCACCGCTGTTGGCACCCAACATGTCGATCATTCTTCCAGGTGTGCACACAATGATCTCAGCTCCTCTCTTCAGCTCAGCAATCTGCCAGCCAACAACAACAGATAGTTAGTGCAACATTCAAAGGTCAAAATAATAACAGAACTGTGGAACGAACAGACTGATTTATTTTTCATTTGACTTTCCTTGTTAAAATCTGCAGTGATATTTAAGTGCAGTCCATTTACTAGATCTTTTAAGGTCAGTTTCTTAGATATCTAAACACAGGGGTAATTAAATATGTGATGAACTATTGTTACTTTCAGAAAATAAGGAAGAAGCAAAATAAGGACATGCACAAGGAACATGAAGTTGATATGATGAAGACAATTACAGCCCTGAGGAAAATTAAATACACAGCAAGAATGAGTGCGTGTGTTCACCTGTTCGCTGATACCTGTGCCTCCATAAACACAGACCACCCTGAGTCCCAGTGGTTTGGAGAACTTCTTACACTCCTTGGTGATCTGCAGAGCCAGCTCTCTGGTGGGAGTCATGATTACAGCTGTGGGAGAGGGAGGGACACGGGATGAGAAGAGAAAATGCGTTACCCTTGACTTTGTTGGACACTCACATTTTCACAGTATTTCTCAAAGTATTGCTTAAAATATTTGCTGCTCAATTACTTAAAGAGTGGGTGATTAAAGAAATCAAAATTGTTGAAGAAATAGAACAGCAAGCTTTTTTTTTTTTTTTTTTTACCCCACTTTAAATATTTTATAAATGTTTTATTTAGTCCTGGTTTGATCAACATTTGAGTCTTGACCCATCTCTTGAAACCTAGATTTTTTAAATATCTTTCAGTTGTATAGAAATGGGAAACATTTGGGTAGTCGCTAGAAGCCAAAGCAGGTATAAATCCTTACAGATGGGTCCCTCGGACTCCTCCAGGGGCCTCTGGTCCATGATGTGTCGGAACATGGGCAACAGGAAGGCTATGGTTTTCCCGCTGCCGGTCTTAGCGATGCCAATGAGGTCTCTGCCTGACATGACGGCAGGGATGGCCTGGGCCTGGATGGGCGTGGGCTTTTCATAGCCATGCCTGGGTACATGTGATGCATTGGTTAATGTTCAGAAAGAGTCAAGTGTTATATACAATACAGATAATCATTCCTACTGGCCTGATAATGTGAAAATGCTGTAGGTGTTTTCAAAGGGCGGCCCTTAAAGATGGGAATGATTCTTACAAACCGGTAAATACTTCTTACTAATATCTTTGCTAGTTTGTTTGAATAGCCCCCAAATGTTTCCTGGTCCACCACACCAGCAGTCAGACTCACCTCTTTAGAGCACTGAGGATCTTCATGGACACACCACACTGCACCCAGGTCTTGATGGGTTTAGGACAGCCCTTCCCTTTAACAATAATGCCTTCCAGTTCCAGTCTGTACGCATTCACATCTGTATTGATCCAAACCAGAGAAACAGGGAAATGTGAAATGGGTAGTAAAGATTTACATTAACCATTGTACTTAACATAACAAGACATCCATGTTTTTTTCCAGCAGTACATTTCCAGCTTGTGCTGAAAGAATTCAGTATTTGAACTGCTGGAACTGCTCTTTAATGTTTGTTGTGGTGTCATACAAGTCAAAATAAATAAATAAATCATTATAAAGACTGACAGCATTTTGTATGGATGTGTGTTATATATATATATATATATATATATATATATCTCAATGCAACACAGCTGTTACATGATGTGCAGCCTAACAATTCAAGTCATACCTGTTTGGAGGCAAGATTTTATTTATAACATTTTGAGATAATGAATAAAAACACTGGAATCCCATTTCCATGTGATTCGTTTACGTACCATCCTGAGTCATCCTGGCGAGCTCAGGGACCTCCACGTAGAAGTTTTTACGATATGACTCGTACTGGATCTTCCCGTGGTCGACAGGCTCCAGGATCTTCCTCTGTTTGGTCTGAAAGCCTGTCAGTGCTGTTTGCAGATCCACCTCCTCCTCCTCTGACGAGTACTGTCAAACACAATTGGATAGTTAGCAGCGTGTTCCCTCAAGAGAAACTTTAAGAAAAAAAAAAAAGAAACTGGGAAACCATTTGATTAGTACAGAATTGTACTATCCTCTGAAGATGACAGAGGATATACGGGAAACATTTTTTAAATTCAAGCCATCAGAGCTGAAGAAATAAATGCATCACCTTCAAAAACAAAACAACAATGATGGTTTAATAAAGGAAAAAGAACTCACTTCCATAGCATCCTGGTCATTCTCCATCAGCTCTCCCTTCTTTTTGTGGGTGTGAGGTCCTTTCTTGGTTTTAACAACGGTCACCACTTTGGTTACCATCATTGCTCCTTTCTGATGAAAATATCAAATTAAAGTTTAGATTTTTCAAAACTATAAAAAACAACAACAAAGACATTATTTTAACTCGTCCAAGACTCAAGGACAAACAGACTTTGACAACGGCAGAGGACAATAAACACAGTTTGTACAGCTAATGCGAGAGCTAACAGTGTGGATAAGAAATGACCTTCCATATGAAATGTAATGGGACTTTAGCAACCCTACACTACAAATATATTTTTTGCATATTTTGCTGTACTTTCTCTCCTGATGACAGGAGGAGGTCACTTTTACTTAGTTCCCAATCAATGATGCTAATACAACGTAAGCTACTTTAACAATTAGCAGAAGCTTTTGACCGCAGGAGGAGAAGCATGGTTTCAGAATAATGCTTCATAAGCCTAACATACCATGACATTATCAAACTACAGTGATGCAGTATTTTGTCCTCTCACACTTACCTTATCATTTCCTTTCACACCCCCCATGTTGAACTTCTTCACCTCCTGCTTCACCTCCTCCATGTAGGCGTCCAGAGGGTCGATGTCGTCATCCTCCTCGGCTAGCTGCTCCATGGGAGTCTCCTCCTTCTCTCCCTCATCTAACAGCTCCTCCTTCATATCCCTCTCCTTAATCTCACTCTTCCCCTCCCCATCTTCATCGTCGTCAGCATCCATTGGAGCTGAAGCATCCTCATCATCATCTGAAATGAAGAGTCAACTGTTAACACTGCACAGGACAATTGATGTACTAGTTGTGAAAACTATGAATCAATTCAAACTTGATTTGAATTGTATATCAAGCTTTAATAACAAACATTTGCTGGATATGGTTCATAATGCTAGATTTTGTTTTCCACGGTTGTTTAGGATATTTATACTAATTTTAAATTAACTGTCAATCAGTGCTTTCTCACCATCATCATCCTCCAGACTCCACTTCTTGCCCTGCTTCATCTCCTCAAGTTCTTTTTTAATCTCTCCAATGTTTTCGATTGCCTTCTTCCTCTGCTCTTCCCTCCATTTCTCCACACGCTCCTTCCTCTTCCTCATCTCCTCCTCCAGCTTGTTCTGGTCAAAGTCTTGCTGCTTGGACACAGAGACGAGATGATAAATATGTTCTCACCTTTACAGGTGTTGGAAGTTTTAGGAGTTGCAAGAACGTAATCAACAGAACTTACATCCTCAACCTTCTCATCCTCTTTCTCCTCTTTTATCTTTTTTTTGTCGGATAAAGGATCAACGCTGTCCTTCTCTTTGCTCCTTGACCTTTAGGGAAGAGTAGGAAAAGAAAACTCCTGTTAGGTTGGTTTAAGGTTAAAAAAAATAATGGTAAAGCTCCTTTGGAACAATGTGCTGCTAAGTAATCTTAAAGGTTGTACGTTCTGTTCAAAATATCCGTATTCGCGGACTTTGCTTAACATGTAATTTCTCTGCTGCTAAAAGAAATATGCACAGAAAAATAAACTGTAGTAAGTGTTACTAAATGACACTTGATGACTGCAGAGGTTTTGGTTATGATATTTTTTCTCATTAGCCTCACTTTTCATCTGGTCTCCTGCCCTTGCTGGGGGTGGCAGATCGGGACCTCCTGGCTCGACTCCTGCTGCCCGACCTCCTCCTCTCTCGGCTCCTGGACCTTCTTCTGTCTCTGCTTCTGGAGCGCCTGGACAGAAAAAGCATCAGGTGAGAGGAAGGCAACACCGACTCCTGTGACGGCCTCAAGGTTGGCCTCTCCCTGTTTGTCTCCCTTTGCTGGCTGTGTTCTCCTTGTTGCAGGTAGATGTGGGTGGAGTCAGGGAGGACTCTAACGCAGCACACCTGAGCTGGCTGGTTTGGGAGTCTACAAAGCAGACCTGCTCAATCTACTCGCTCTCTTCTCTCCTGCATACTGCTGTTAACATTTGTTTGAGTGTGATACTCATTTATCCACAGACAGACCTCTTCACAGGTCTAACACTGTTTAGTTTAATAATTTAATTAAACTTCTTTGAATAATGTTGCCAACTATGTGTGGTCTCCCTCTTTTGCCACTGCTCTGTTAAGCCAGGTTGTGACACTCCTTTTGTTTAGTTCTTGATGTCAGGTGATCTCTACTAATGGATTTTAAGCATATGCAAACAACAAGTTATTCATTATTGTGAAAACACATTTAAAAAAAAATAATATTGTGATTCTTATGTGAAGTGAAACAGATTTGAAGTCAATGTCAGCCCACTTGAGTTCCCCCGACACACTCAAATTGAAAGCCTGGTGACTTCTGTATATTGTCAAAGCCACAACGAGCCTCATCATTTAGTTGTCTTCTTTCACTTTTCTAATACATTGTGGTCTTTCATGTCATCAACCCCTACACTTCAGTAAGTAAACAAGACATTCACACTCACCTGACTCGTTTCCTATCTCTGGACCGGGACCTGCGGCGTTCCCGGCTCCGGGAGCGCTCCCTCCTGTTTCGGTCCCGGTCGTCCTTCTTGGAGCGTTTTTCCGGGGAACGACTCTTCGATCGGCTACCTGATCGACCCCGAGATGTAGAGCGTTTCCTGTAGTGTCTGATGTGGGGGGGGAAAGCATAATATTCACGTCAGATGAAAGTTAGCTGGATTGTTGTCAAAGGAAACCTACATATATAAATCTGCGATTCGCATTAAACAACTAAATCACGAGACCGTGTACCCAGCGTCACGCTATGTTTGCTGCTGTGCTCCACACTCATGTCGTAGCTAGCATGCTACTTCAAATTAGCCGGCTTAGCGTCCACGAGTTGATCATGATAACCGAGCATAACAAAACAAAAAAAAACACCGATATGTTTTTATCATTCTGAAATACCTTGACTCGCGTCCCATTGCTTTCCACGAGGTAAAGTCTTGTGAAGAGTTAAATGAGTTCGCAGATAGTAGCAGCTCTTGTTTGTGTCCTGAACCTGCAGCTGAGAAAACTGCGACAGTTCAGTTTACAAGCTCAGACGTGAAACAGCGCAGTGCGCCACCCCGCGGCGGGAGGTCGGAATTGCAACTTTTCAATTAATTTACCGAGGCCAATTTTTCACAAAAATAAAAACAGAAACACATTAGAAACCTCTGTGAAAGGTTACAAGAGTTGAGCAGTATGCAAGTATTGCTTAAGTATTTCCTTCATTGTTTCTAACAAACCCTTTCATGCTGTTAATAAACTTACAAACTAAAATTATATAAATAGAAATTGAGAGGCAAAACAAGGTAGGATATACTTACACAAGTACTATTTATTTGGTATGACTTGTCAGTTTATTATTCCTGTTTATGTTTATAAGCAGATACTGTAAATATCATGTCAACACTCAGTTTTGTACCTAAGATGAAATACGTAAGGGACTGCAGGAGCCGTTAAAACAGGTATTCTGCAAACATTGTCAAAAAACAATCAAGAAGGTCAGACAAGTCATAAACCACACCAATTCATGGATGAGGAAAACCATATTCACATCAAATAAATTAATTTGGATGATATTTTGAAGTATGAAGAGAGACATTCCAGCACAGAAGTAGAGAGTATAGATATAAATAATGAATGACAAAGGCTGAACAAACTATAGCAGGTCACTTCACTAGAATTACTCTTCACAAATACGCATACACACTCCCTCTGCCTTATAATAATTTACATAGACAGTGCTTTCCAGTTTAACCCAAGCATTCCAGTCAATAACTGACTTCAGTATGTAAAGTTCTGTATGAAATTGACTGGGTTTTCAGCTCATCTTCGTGCAAAATAATACACTCCACATCAAGGGATAAATGCTTTTTGCGACTCCACAACCTAAATGAAGGAAGAGAGCTTGTTTGTAACAAATGCTGACTATAGAAAATAGAACTTGAAGCACAAACACAACATTCATATCAATCGATAAGAGGAGAGTTTATGTTTCTGATATATTGATCCTACCTCAGTTCCCTCAACCTTATTTATCGCTGCTCTGTCAGACAAGCTTCATAATAAAACAAAAAAAAGCCAACCCTAACTTGAACGACTCAAATGCTTATCTTCTGTGTTTAAGGCTGCAAGTAGAATGAACATAGCAAGTCTGACCAGTTTCTTTAACCTCCTAATATTTCTGTCTCCAATTAAAGACAAGGAATAGTCAAAACCCAGAGATGTATTTGGTACTTCAAAATTAAATAGCACATTTATTACTTATAAGCTGCCGTTGGATGAGCTTATGTTAGCATTCAACCATTATTAGCAAACGTTACACACTGATAGTGTTACACAATATGATGGCAAAGCTTCATATAGATTTTAATAAAGTGCAAACTAACAGTTTGGTCGCATGTATTTAAGGATGGAAGTAAAACACACATTCCAATCATATTGTGAAACAATATCATAAACTCTTTTGCTTATCAGCTATTTGTCAAATGCTAATGTTAGCAACTGTAGCTACTAGGTTATCATACACATGTCCCTATGAAATTTCACTGTCCTTTGTCCCGTCAGCTGCTGACCAGCTTGTAAGTGTTGAGTGATGAAATGTACTTTTGTCCTTTCTCGAATATTACATTGACTATTTCATCGCTAAATCTGACAAATTAATGAAACCTTGCATGAGAAATGCCACTGCATGTTTGTCACGCAAGCAAACACAAACATGTCTGTTTTTCAGGTTTGGTTCACAACAAGAATGAATTTGAAATCTGTAACAAAAACCAGGTTTTCTTTTTACAATCACATGTAGCGTAGCCTTATCAGAATCCTGATTAATTAGCACTCGTCCATCTGACATAGTGCCCTTACACAGCAGCGAAGACTCATTTTCAGACTGTCAACAACAAGCTCACATCAGCCCACTTAATGACCATAACTTGTTGCGATGGGAGACAGAAGGAAATTAAGGAAGAGGCTGGGCTACTGAGATCCTTCTAGTCCATCAGGGAGTCTCTGAGCCTATAAGAAGCAGGATCTCATGTGAGATTATGAAGGTGAAGAAGTAAACGCAGAGGTCGGCAAAGACGTCTCCCATCCTCCTGTAAGTGTCCATGGAGCGGTTGATGACTTCAGCAGGGATACCGGACAGCAACAGGGCAGCAGTCAGTACTGTGGTCTGAGCCTTCTTCTCCACCTGGAGGTACAAAGTACAACTATAATGCATAGCAGCAACTAATGATTATATTCTTATTCATCTGATTTGATTTCTTTTTTTACTTTTAAGTTAATTAATTCAAAATTAAGATGTCACAATTGAACTGAAAGACAAAAGAAGCAAATCTTTAGGAGCAGTTGTAGAGGGGGAATGAATATATACACTTGCTCTTGATAAATGACATAAATTGAAAGTGGGAATAGTGTATTCATTCTCATTCTGTCCAAAGTTCAATCTGATCCCTGAGACATACAATACTCGATTCTATATTTTTAACTAACTCTCAGAGAGGGAGAGCAAATAAACCTGATTTCCAACTATTATTCCCATTGGGAGCTATGAAAATTATTTCAATTCTTTCTCTGCTGTTGGACTAACCCTTTCATACTAGTTTTATGGTACACAAAAAACAGTATAATATGTATTGTGTATATGTATTTAGTGTATGTCTATGTATATTTACTGTTTACCTTAAAGACATATGCAGTTCACCTGTTCTCGCATTTCAATGATTTTTTTTTTTTACATAATAATAAAAGACAACCCTGTGCCACCCTTCAGGTTGCATGAAAGTTCTATGATATTCATTGTGGGAGGCTAGTGGCGACACAGGCGGTGGATATTAACACTGGGCTGTCAGCCATAATACAAAGAAGTCAGAGCATTAAAAACACCATGTCAATATCACTGCTCTGTAACTATGTCTGAAATATGACAGTCTGTATCCAGAAAACTGTTAGTTATTTATTGACTTATTTATTCATTTATCATGTTTGCCCACATGATCAATTAAATGGGGAAAGTTTACTAAAAAAAATGTACTGTAAACTCACCTTTGGAAAGTATTTGGACAACCCCATGTAGGCCAGCTCGAGGGTCAGGAATGGAGCAAATATTGACTTGAAAGAAAAAAAGATGAGGTTCACATGATTACTTAGATAACAAATAATGACATGGTAAGTTTCATTCATTGCCCACAGGCTCATCAGCGCTCTGAGGGATAATACCAGGTGTCTTTAAAAAGGTACACAAACGTTCACTACTATCTTGTTAGTAAGCTTCGTGTTAGGAAAGGAGACAAACTCATTTCTTTTTTCTTCCAGTGCTTAATGCTTACTACCAAGAGTCACAAAAGAAAAAGATATATCATCACATTTTTACAACTGTGTCATATTATAAAAAACATTACATTTGTTAATGATCTATTTCCTTCTTGGATGATTCCAAACACAGATTATATTTAGACCATGTGAGTTATCTTTTCTATTCCCATGAATGACTAATCCCAGCAGACTTACCAGATACTTGCAGACAGAAACTCTGACAAAAACAGCGAGGAGGATGCTGCCAATGAGCCTAAAGACTACGAAGGGATCAAACTCCTCAGACTCAGACTCGCCATCCTGGGCCGGCTTCTCATTGGCCAGCTGACCTCGCAGTTTCATGGCATCGTCGAAACGGGACAGGTACTTCTGAAGGCCTCGCCGGGGGGAGTTACTGATGTCGTCCGACGCCAGCTCTCCCCTCGGCCTCTGTCGGATCCCCCCAATGTCATCATCCAGGGAGCCCGTGTGTGACTCGTTGCAGCCTGGCAGGGGTGAGCCCCTCCTCTCCGGGGTGGCACTGTGGGAACGGCTGCCAACACCTGCTGAAGCTTCTGGCAAGAAAGGGGACGGTCTCGACGAAGATGAAGGTGAGGACCATGGCTCCGTCCTGTCGAGATCCAGGTGAAAGCGGGGCTCTGTGGGGCGCCGAGATGCTGCAGCTGAGGATGTGAGCAACACACTTTTGTTTGTTTTAAGAAAAGTGAATCATCCCATCTATCGTCTCTAGATTTCAACAAGGCATTTCTAATGTGCTAGTTTATTTAGAGAGACTGATCCATAAATATTTTAGCTACTAAATAAGTTCATTGTGAAAGAAAGGCAAACGTGTAAACCCATCTACAGACTCCCTTTCTTCACGACGAACTTATCAGGACAGTCATTTATTTATGAGCTATTTGACTTCAGTCCCCTTTGATTGAAGAGCATCTGATTCCTCTTCATCTTTTGACTCACTCCAACCTTTTTTTGCTTTCAACCAAAATATTTTAGTTGCCAATATTTAAGACTAAGAAATCACTAAATATTAACAATCATGACGTTTCCGTATTAAGAATTACTCCATTGTCTAATAAACTATGACCCCATCCATTCACTGGTAGTGAATATAAATACCTTAATGATAATACTTCTGCAGTAAGAAAGCAGATGTGCTGACTACAGCTCAAACAGCAGCAGTAAGGCAGATCCCCAGGGTGTATACTGCAGTCCTTATCATATCATACCGTTTAATTCAGACTCGTTTTTGGTGAAGCCCACTATTCTTTTCATGCGATCCTCTGAATTCAGGAGCAGCTTCCTCCTCCGGATCTCGGCTCTCCTCTGCGCAGCTGACAGAGAAGCTGCATTCTCCTCGTGGGCCTCTCCGGACTCCATGTGGAAACAAATAAATAAGCGTTTACTACAAACGATACCTCAAGAAATCCAAAATAAGAGCAGTTCAACAGATGAGCGTCGACAAAACAAAAGCCCAGCCACCTGCATTAAACCATAAACATGACTGAGCGTTGTCTGAGAACGGACGCGCGGTGATGACGTCACAATCGAGCTTGACACTAGTTAAGGCGTTTTTTGTTTTTTTTTACTATTTGTAAGAGAAAGGCAAACACAAACAGGCTTTTACTTACAACCTTCATGTGAAATTAATGCATTTGACTTTTTCTTTATTTGCTGGTTTGCTCTGATCTACGCTGATGCCCTCATTGGATTTCTACAAAGCGTTTGATACTGTGTAGCATTATTTTTTTTTAATATAATCTTTGCTTGATAACTAAGAAAAGGTTTAAATGAGATTATTATTCACACTCAGTTGTAACATTAGGCTTATTTTGGATTTGCTGGACCACTCCATTGAACCTGATTGCTTGATTTTCTTTTTGGATTTTTATAAAGCGTTCAACACTTTAGGACATGAATTGTTATCAAGGCACTAAAAACATTTTGTTTGGGAAATAACTTTGTCTCCATTAGAATGCTTTATAGAGTTTAATGTAGTTGTAGTAGCCTATCCTTTTTTAGTCCAAATATCATTCGATCAATTCGTAGATCATTTCACCTAGGTTGTCTAAATTTATTCAACTAATTTCAACAAAAAATATGATTCGTACCTTTTTTTTCTTTTTGCCCCATAATACTATTAAATGGAATAATGAATCTAATTTTTTTGAAGAACTGAAGAAAATGTATAACTTATTGTATGGCTTGTTTGTAACAAGAAGATAGCTACACACTACATACTTTATTTAAAGACTAGGCTGTTTAAATGCCTAAAATGATTTTTATTTGGTCGATTGACGCTGTTAACATCTCTGCCTTTGTTTTCTTTTTATTTGTCTTCTTTATTTTCAATGTAATCTTTCTTTATTAACAGCTATGTACTTCCTTATCATTGTTTGACTTTTCACAGAAACAAACTACACAGATGAACCTTCCTCATTTTCCTGAGGTCATTGTAATGTGAATGATGATTTCAATAAAGTATATTGATAAAAAAAAAAAAAGGGTGAATTCACAGCCTGTTATTACTTTTTACAAATTCACTTCACGTTTGTACTTTTGGCAAACAAAATGCCAAAATGTGAAGAATGCCATTCTTCACCATCAGGAATGAACTATAGTAAATAGGTGTATGTCGTATCTCATACAGATATGGTGATACAACAAAAAATATAAAAATGCATTTTGAAAAAAAGTACTTTCACATCCACAACGCTTACATGAATTTAGCATAACAATTTTGTTTCTATCACACTTTTATATAATTTGCAGCATTGAAAACGAATAATCAAAAAAGGTTTAACAAAGGTGTTTAAAGAAACCTAAATTGTGCATCAGTGTTGGAGTTTTTTATTTTTATCTAACATCTGCTTTTTCTCTGATGGAATCTTGGATTCATCTTGCAGACCCTTGTTATGGTCCTCCTCACTCTCAGGTTTTGTGGAAATGACGATAGCATAACCACATTTAAAAAAATCATAATCACAGCCATTGTGCAGCAGCAAGCAAGAGAAGTGTCTGCTTTCACCTGCCAAAGTTGTGACTGGTTTTTAAAACCAGAGCTAAAAATGACAGTTACAAATAACCAGGTAGGCCACACAAAATGATTAATTGATTTCAAATAAAGTTTAAGGAGGTATGATCACAATTTGTTGAAGACTGAACTAAAACATTTATGTTCATAAAAGCCACTGTACCTGAACTACAGAAAGAATAACGTTAACTTGAAAGACATTTAAAGTTCAAGTACAAAGAACTTTAAAGTCAAACAGTGTACTGATAAGGTCGGTAAATATCCAATGTTGATATGACTACCATTTAAAGCTGCAGGGACGCAGTCCTCTACTCAGCAATTTGTGTTTTGTTCTTAACTTCCAGGTTCAGAGAAAATTTCCCTTTTTTTCTTTTTTTTTTTTTTACTTTTTGTGATGTCTGATGTGGATTCATTTTCCTTTTCCTATCACTTACCTGGAAGTCCTTTCACAAAGTTTTACATGCTTTTATAACAGTGAAAAGGTGATGAGCATTGTTTCAGGGAAGCCTTGCAGGGCCCCCTTAAAGGTCTCACGCCCCACATTGGGAATCACTGCTTTAAGGCACCATAACGACAAATCTGATAAAATATTGAGTATTTTATCATTTGAAATATGACTCTTCTTAGTTTAGTTTATTTGTTTACTGTTTCATGGACAGTCCCTTTAATTAACTGCACGTGAAAGGAGCAGCTTTAGCCTTTATGGCTAATTAACAGCTTTTTTGTTTTTCTTACACTAATGTGTCCCTAGCCTGTCTACAAACCCCCCAGTTATGAGAAAATCCATCCTCTCCGTCTCTTGCCTGCTCCCCTTTTCAGAAAATGTGTACTCAAACAGGCTGTTTGGAGATTTTCCTTTCATGACATCACAAAGGGCAGTAACCCCTCCCCCAGGTGGGTGATACTCCCACAAGCTATGTGTTTGTTCTGCCTCTGAAACAAGGAGCATGGTGTATGAAAGCCCAAGTCACTGAATCCCCTTCCAGAGGGGCGTGGTCAGACACAGCTCATTTTCATTTAAAGCTACAGACACAGAAACAGTCTAATCCGAGCAGGGCTGAAATAGAGGGGTTTATAGGCATGATCAAATACAGGATCAGAGTGGATTTAAAACATGAAACCTCATGTTTTGGGGATCTCTGACACTTATTTAAACTTGTTGAAAAGGGAGGACAATATGTGACCTTTCAACAACCGCAGGACCTTTTTAAATTTTTTTTTTTTAAAAAAGGACTTAAATTGGCTTCCACAGTCCCACAGTAACATCTCAAGTCCAGGTCATGTGACCCAAGAGAACACCTGTGATATTCTGTCTACAAAAACCTGCCTTATTTTGTATTATTAATTTTCAACAATCTTTTAATGAAAATAAATTGTGCATGAAGACTTAATCATGTTTTTTCCTAAATACATTTTTGTTTTTATTATACATAGATTACAAACTGTATGAAATCAGATCAACAAATGTCATTTTAAACCCAGTCAGGAGAAATATTGAATATATCTGTTTTGTATCCTTTCTTTTCACTGTGTAACTCCTGCTGTTCACTCACCAAAACACAAAACTACATTTAAAAAGTCCCAAACATTTTATTTCTTAGCATCATTCCACCGTAATGTTTATACTAAAATCATCAACATTTCGTCACCTTTATATAATGCAGTCTTTTCAATGTACAAGTATCAATAAGCATGATTAAAAGATCACAATGGCTTTGTTCTGTCTGTGTTAAAGAATTCCCATATCCTATTATATTAAAATATTTCATATATAGAGTCTGTATTTGAACAGAGGTTTAATAATAAAAAGTGAGTTCCCATACAAGGCAATTATAGAATTTAATCATAATGGGAGTCTCATAAATTATTAATTATCAGAGAGAAAAAAAAGAGAAGGAAATAAACAAACAGACTAGGGTGTTATCGAGGTGTTCTGAAAAGATGAAAGAAAGTTTCTGAAGGACAGATGAGACCCACGAAATAAACTTCCCACTGCCGAATCCAAACATTCAGGCAGCTAAGACGGCCATTTCCATCAGCCTTCAAACAACATTTCAACGGTTACGCCAGGGTCTACAGATTTGTTCGACACACAATTATAATGACAGAAATAAAAAGCACACGTTCTGTCCCCCAGGTACGATATTAGAGTGTTGTTAGGGCTCAGGTGTTCTGTGTGTACAAATACTCCTGGTGACACCCAATAACAGTCTTTGAGCACAAACATACTAAACATCCTCATAGACTATTCTCAAGTCTAACATACACACATACAGTACATACGTTGGACTTGATTTAGTAAAGACAACTGTGCTTTTTGAACAAAAACACTTCACACATCGCTTTGCCTGGACAGTATCTGAACGATACCTCAGTAAGATAGTATTGTTCTATGAGAATAAACACTGATTCATTCAATCATTGACAATATAATAATCATCATCATCTTCATCATCACGGATCTCTTTCTTTTTTCTTCCAATGTGATGCTTCAGCGGGGTAAAAAGTGACAAATGAGCATCAGAATGGATTCTTTGACACTCCGTCCAAGTGTCCGTCACAGAATTTGATTTGAGTGACGCAAAGTTGCAGCAGCACAGCTCAGACATGCAGCCCCATAACTGGAGATGGAGCATCCCTCAGTCCCTCTTCCACACAGAGACACTCGAACAGCATACCAACATACATACATACATACATACATACAGGACACGCGCGCGCCAATGCATGTCCTCACTTCAGTGTCTCCTCATTTGCACATTTCCCACTGAGCGTTATTTGGAGATTTGCTGTTGGACGTGAAGCAGGAATTCGTAGTATGACAGGGCTGACTCCGTTCGGTCCTCAATCATGTTCTGTAAAAAGCTGGCTTTCTGCTGGCTTTCGTCCCTGGGAGAGTAAGAGAAAACAGATTGAAAAATAGTGCAAGATAAGTTGTTGTTGCTCTTTACATTATGTTGCTGACAAATGAAAAACTGAGATTTCCTTATTTTTATTATGAAACTATTTAGGATCTTTGGATTGCAGACATCTAAATGCTACTAAAGTCTTAATAAGCTTTTATTGTTAAAAAAAATTCTTAAAAAAAAAAAAAACACATCTCACAAATAACCTCAGGTTTTGTATTTTTTGATTTCATTAGTCAGTTGTTACTCTAATTCAAACTATTCAAGAATTATTTCTTAGATTTTTTTCAGAAAGAGAAATCACAGCCGTTTATCTGGCACAATAAAAAAAAAATACATTCTCAATCCTTTCAATCTACTACATTATTGTGAGCTGCCCACCTGATGATATGCAGGGAGGGGAAGAACGGCCTCTGATCCCTCAGCCAACCAATGAAAGCTCTGGTTCTCTGTGACTCGGCAGTGTCCAGCTCTGGGAGCAGATACTACAAGAAGAGAAAGACACGGTCAGGTTTTGTATTCAAGGGGTGATGCATGCAATACTTAATAATGTACCTGTATTAAACAGATGTGACCATTATGCCAAACTCTAAAGCAGAGACATAATGTATATGGGGGTCAAAGTGGACAACAGTTTCCTACCAGGTTATCAGGCACAGCAGCATAGCTGGGAACTCCAAGGACTTGTGAGAGGAAAGTGGGGTTGCAGTTTCGCCCAATCCAAAGATAGATAACCTTCAGGATCAGAATTAGAAATATTAAGTCAACTTGGGAATATATGCTTAGAATGTTTTTAGAGCAATCACTGTGAACACTTGCCCATCTCTATTGGGGGATTTGTTTCATTTTAAGTTTGAATAAATATTCCATATGAATAAATACATAAAAAAGCTAATTATACGCACCATACAAGTAATTTCTCTATTACAATACTATTCTAACCACTCCATTCAACACAATAACTCACAGATAAAGAGACAAGTTTTATTAATTAACCTCAAAGGCTTAAAAAGGTTGTTAAGAAAGACACTTTTCTTCAGGAAAAGAGAGACATCAGGTACTTGACATTAGCTTTTTTGTTTCCTTTTGGCGTATGAAGAGGGCTGACTATACAACCATGGTTTGAAAGTTCGTACCGTTCCTGCATCCATGAGGAAAGCTGCCTCTCGGCTGAGCTTCTCCACAGTCAGCTGCAGCAGCCTGGGCTGAGGAATGGTCCGCTCATTGATGTTCAAAGCTCCCTGAGGTTGTCGGAAAAACAGAAGAAAAGAGAAGTTTACTCAGTAGCATGGAGAGACTTAAACTAATAAACAAAAGTGTGTGTTTCAGCCCAGCCCATTACACAATGGAACGCTTTTTAAGGTTTAAAGCAACGCTTACAACAAAAAAACAAAATCTAATTTTTCTCCTTTTTGTTCACAAATCACTCTAAACAAGGAAAAAAAAGTAACAACTTAATAACATAAATCATGTCTTCTTTTTCTTGTTTAAAAATGTTTCACCCCTGCATGCAAAGAAGTCTGTGTCAATGCAATGTGAAGGTGCTGAGGGCTAATTTCATCCTCCTCACCTCATCTGTCAGATCGTCAATTCGGTACAGAGCTGGGTGGATCATCAGCAGGGAGTAGGCCAGCGGCTGGTACTTTAGCTGACACATGGCAAACACGCGGTCATCCAGCCTGGTGCTGGTGCCCGTCCTGAAAGCTTTCTGCAGGGAAACACACACACACACACACACACACACACACAGGAAGCAGGATCAATAAAGGTCAAACTAAAGACTGATCCCAAGAGTGAAACACTGTTTCTGTTACTGCAAGAACAACATTACAGGTTTTGTGTTCATTCAACGTATAAAACTAACTTTGCAGACGGAGGAAAAGCTTACTTGTTTGAGCAGGGCGAGGATGAAGAGTGGGAAGAGTCTGAGGCAGGCCGGAGCCAGCAGGCCGGGCTGCTGGATGGTTAGCACAGACTGTCGGTATGATGACAGTGAGTCGATGGAAGCGTTTGTCATCGCATCTCTGGCGTCACTCAGACTGGCCGTCACAGAGCGGTCCACAGCTAGAACACACATGTTGTTGTCATGAGGACAAATGTCAGTTTTTAGAGAATCCGTGTTTTTACATTTCTGACCAAGACGACCCAAATGAGAAAATATAAATTGTCTAGTTATTCTTGTTAAATTAAATATCCCCAAAACTTAGAAAAAAACTAAACTAGTGAGAAATACAGCTCAACGGTGTCAAATACCATAACTGATTATATTGTGAACAAGAGTAACTGAATGTACTCTGGTGATGTGTAAGAAGTAGAGGGGATTGTGTTTGTATGAATGTTTGGACTTAACGTGATCGATTAAAAACTTTTTTATATTTATGTTATTATTATATGAGCATTATAATTTATTTATTTCAATGCAACATTAAGAGTTTTAGTGTTTTGTACAATAATCAGCTGTGTCCTAACATTGGTAGTAGACTTTTCTAGAGTTTTGAGTGTTATTTTGAAGGAAGCAAAATGTCAGCGTCTGTTCTCTAAGTGAATGTGAGATGAGCAAGCAAATATCTGACTGCTCAGAATTCAATGGTTGCTTGGTAACCACAGCTGTTGCCACTCATCTCCATCTGTCAGCGCTAATAACAGCAGGGGGACGAAAAGCTTGCTGTGATTTTGTATCAGACTGTTCAACGCAACAATGAGGAATCATTTCAGAGATCAACAACAAACTGATTGTTCTCTTTAAGAGAAATATTTATGTTGAAAATACTTTGTCATTAAGTATCCACAAATTATCGTTAGCACTTAAACAGAGAAGAGTGCTGCATTTATTTATATCTTATCCCCATATTCCTGTTACAGCTGAACTTACACAGGGGAGAAAAACAGACTAACATAACAACGAGTTCGAACAAACATCAGTGGAGAACTGAAGATGCACAAATCAGCAAAAAATAGTTCTGGTAACTGGAGAAACTTTTTAAAATGCACCTTATGTTCAACTTAACATTTTTATTGGGCTGAGATAATATGATGCTATGGCTGGTTACCTAATGTTACTATAATTGTGAAACTTCCATTTCAAGTGTACAGACACTTGTAGATATAAGATCAGACATGAATCAAGATTTCAGGCAGAGTATATTAAGTGTAAAAAAAAAAAACATCTCAGACAGTGTTTCACATACCCATGCACGCCAGCAGTCCAGTGATGGCCTGAACGTCAGCTCCAGCAAAGATGTCTGACAGAGAATTGACCACAGGGAGACACAGAGTGTGGACACGGATCCTTCTCTCTCCTGGAAGGTGAAACGTGTTTTATTTTAACAAAAAATAGCCAGATAGAAATTGAGGTAACCATATCATTTTGAATAAATATATCCTTCCTATTAAGTTAATTGGCAGGTCCATCCACTTTTTGATGCTACTTCTTAGTTCATTAACCAATACTTTTCCTAAGTTTTGCATTTGTTGTGTGTGTACCTTTGCTAGATGTGTATAGTAGTGCAGCCTGGAAGGAGACAGTCTGCATGTCGTCTAGGTTTTCCTCGATGGACATCTGAACTGCAAAACCGGCATCTGGGTTCACGTTAGGCAGGGACAGTAGATCCGTAGAGCGCACAAAGAAGTTTCCATGGAACGTGTGGATGGAAAGACCTGCAGAGAGACACAGAGAGAGAAATCAATAACAATGGTACGACAAGAAGACTAAAATACTCAACTAAAAACAAGAAAAGAGAAGATTCAAATCAGGGAAAGCAGACTCAGGTAAATGCTTCACCTTTCGTGCAGCGTATCCTCATGACAGCCTCAAAGCCGATCTTCCTGGTTAAGTATCTCTTCAGATCCTTCTGGAAGCACTCCACCTGAGCAGGGTTGTGCTGGTGGTGATACGAGGGGTAATAGTAAACGCTTCCTGCAGAGTATCTGGATATGCAGCCTGGGACACAGAAAGGCACATGAGAGCAGAGTTTAGACAATAATGAGATGAGAGCTGATTTATTTTCCTAATGAAAACAAAAGACAATATTGGTCAGTTAGCTTTAAATGTTAAATTAATTCCCCCTGTTTTTCAATAAGATAAACCATAACTTGACAACCAGAAACTAAAGTATGAATTCAACTTTACTAGTAAAAGTATTCTGTGTTGTGCTATGTAAAAATTCATATGAGCCCTCTCCCCTCATGTCTTGAATCTTTTCCCATCAGTCTTACCGAGTGATGCCAGGTCACAGTATTGGGAGCTGAGCAGAAACAGGTCGACCGCCACCTGCTGGCCGGAGCAGTCCAGAGCCAGCTTCTTGTAGAAGTCTGTTGCTGGAGATAAGTACTGGATGTCCTGAAGATGAACCCACCAGGATGAGAATGTTAACTCAAATGTAAAAAAAACTTAAACGTAAAAAATCTACCAAACACCTTCCATTAACAAATCAGTTTACCATGATGACCTATTACTAAATCAGTGCGCCTTCTCAACATGTACCTCGAAACTTTGCTTTGTTTGCTGTTTATTAGTGCAGTTCAAATTTGTTTTTTACAACTACTCTTTGTTCCTAAAAATAATTCTAACTTTCCTCTTACGATGCAGCCTCACAATTTCAACGCGCCACGGATGATTAGCCACCAATAAAACCATGAATGGGATATTTCTTGTAGCACTAAGCAACTAATTATGATACTGTTGTTAACAGGTTCAACCACAGTTTTAAACAAATATGAAAAAATCTTAGGGTAGGCTCAAGCTCTTTTATTTTTCTGTGTATAATCCTACAAACTCATCATCAGAGCCCCTACCTTGGCAGAAGCCCGCTGGTTGGGGTCTTCTCTAGACTGGAGCGCCCCCACACCCAAGTTAGGCAGCTGGGTCTGAAACACAGACATTCGCCCTCCTGTGGGCGACAGCAGCTTGAAGGCTGCTTGCAGAGCTGAACCCAGGGCAGACTGGGTCTCCATGGTCTTCTCAAATAGAGTTGGCAGGCTCTTTAGCAGATCCTGTACAAGCTGTTAAAAAAAACAATAAAAGTGAGCCTCATTTTTATGATGTAATTAGTCCATGAGGAAACATTTTGTTTCTGATTTCATGTTTCTTCCATCTACAAGAAGGTCAGAGCTGACAGTCGGGGTGATTTCAGTTTGCTGTCACTCAGCAGTGTGGCCACTAGGTTTAGACATGCAGTAGTTAGAAATGTACATTCCTACACAGTGAAAATGAACAAGGAAATTGTGACTGAAACATTTCATAACTCTTAAAGACAGAAGTGGATGGCTTTGGATATTGCTTCCTGTTAAAACATTTGATCACTGTAGTATCTCCTTACCTCTTTGCATTCATTTAGGTTTACTAGAAGGCTGTCTGGTGTTGGTAAAAATATATCTGTGGGAGCACAAAAGGTATTAGCTTAACAAAAATGACATTCATAAACATACTCATATTATAATCGTTAATTAGATGCATTTTTAAAAACTGCAGCTACCATGAGGTAGCTTGTTTGAAGCCTATAAACTCAGAACAACTGTTTGTCATAAAGAGCAGAACGTCCAGAAGATTCTGTAATAACTAAAACCCACGTTGTACTCAAGTTGACTGACTCAGACAGCCTTGTGTCTCATGATTTCTTATCTATACATTAGTGTCTGCAGTAGCTTGTGTATAAAGCTGGTGTGAAGCTGCAGCAGTAATGAGCATTTGGCTTTTGCCTTCGGCTGTGTCTCACCTTCGATGTCAGACACGATGAGCATCTGCGGTTGAGAAAGTCCCTCCTGGAGGTTGTAAAAGTGGATGGTGCTGTCAAAGGTGATGAAGCCCACCTTTGTCCGCGAGTCTCCAGGCAGCCTAGGACACGGACAAACAAGTTTAAATAACTTACAATCAGACAACAGGAGTGACCTTAATATTTACAAAGACTCATTTCAACCCTGCACAATGAAGATGTGCTATTTCTATTGACTAATACTACAACACCGCAGGGCAAAGATCAAAAAAGAAACCTGAACTTTAATAATACTTTTTACAAGCCAAACGGGAACATACGCATTGATGTTGTCAAGCAGCGACTGACAAAACACATTCAGGTAGCCCGTCTCCACTGCATTGTGGGATACGTCAAGAATGAAGAGGTAAACAGCAGGCTGTGGTGGCCTCAGCTGGGTAGAAACACAGAACTCAAGGTTAATATAGACACACACACACAGGCTGCACAATATGTACAAGTAATACACTAACATGTGTTTTACTTTTGTTTCAGAAATTACCTTGTGCTCATACTTTAATGGGGTATAAATCATACATTTTCAATAACCTAAGCATTCTGATCACAATGCAGAACCAATGTCAATAAGGCTTTTAAAAACTCACCATGTACTCTGAAGGAGCAATGAATTCAATGGTGGCGTTCTGGACTTCTGGTCTTTTGTGGGGCTCTCCGTAAGATCTGCTGACTGGGTTGTACATAAACTCCTCAGGAACTGCACACAAGCACACAACACATTCGGTGAGTGAGGTCATAGTAATGAATAGTCCTCTGTTGTACTTTTTGTGTAATTCAGTTGACATTCATGAGCATGAAAAGAGTGTTATGGGGAGGATCGTAACTAATGCAAGGACGGGAATGGTTATTCACTATTATAAGGGTGACATTTTGGATTTCTGGAAGAGTACATGCATGCTAATTAAAGATACTTGAAAGGCATCAATTGATGCGTTACTGCTGTGTGAGCCAGCAAATGTTGACCTGGGTTTTGTAACTCTTCTGTGTAGTCTGTCTGTAACTTTGACTGTAACATTGTTCTAATGTGCATCTGCTTGTCTTGGCCCAGGCACTCTTGTAAAGACATTCCTAATCTCAAAGTCCCTTCCTGTTCAAATACAAAAACAAATTAAAAAAAGTATGTACACAAGCCATCATATTAAAGTCACGTGGGGACTGATATATGAGGGTGGTTTAGAACATTATTACAACATTATAAAAATATTCAAACATTCTGAAATAATGTTCATGGGATGCAAAACACTCAATATTTCATGCATAAATCTGTATATGAGCCAGAATTGAGTGATTTATCATGCTTTTATGATTTAAAAATGACTTGAATTTACCAACATCTAAAAGCTTTTCACATCTTCATTAGCAATCATTTTGGAAAGTATGTGAACAAAAGTTTCTTGGTGCTTTCACTCTGTCTTCTTTGAAACCCAGCCTGGGGTTCAGGGTACTTTCTGGTATACCACTGATAATTATAGTCCATCCAGCAGTATGATATCAATTTAATTCTTTTTTATGAACGTTGTTTAACATACAGAGTAACTTTATGCAGGAATATGTGGGGTTTTCACAATCAGCTGATTGAAGAATAAAAGATCATTTTCTCTAGAAGTTGCTTAATGGAAAGTGACAAAATGTCTTGAAAATAAACATTATTATGGAGACCAGCTGACTGCCTCCAGTGTTCTCACTGACAGAAGCCTCTCTTTCATCACCCTCCCCCCCTTTCTTACCATCATTGACCCGGTAGCAAAGGTTACACTTCCACCTCCTCTGGTCCAGGAAGGAGACGAAGGGATTGATGTATGTTCTGCAGGACCGACACCTGACTATGGTGCTGGATGTCACCACAGGAAGCTGCTACATGGAAAACCACAGAACAAAACAGGGAGGACTGCCTTTAGGCCAACTCATTTTCTTGTTTGCATTTCAATAAAGACATTCTTGTTGCTGTCCAAGTTGTGCAACGACTGTGTCCTCAACTAACACCTGACAACACATGATTGGTTCTGGCATTCGTTCTCTTTCCCCCAGAAGCCTTTTAGTCAAATTCTGAGGTACTTAGAGGATTCTTAATGTTGAATAAGAAACAGTCTGATCTGCTTATGTCATCTTTATCTAAGTGACATCATCATCATAATGAGGCTGTGGATGATTTTTAAAGTCATTCAGGAAAGATTTCTGTTGATCACGCATACTAATTATATCTGCAATAAAAACATATTCAGTTTAACATCCATATATTCTCACAGTGGTTTCATCCTGAAGCGGCAGTTACCAGTTTAACCTTAAAATGGCATAGAGTGCCTTGATCACCATAAAAAGGTAATTTAAGTTAATGTAAATGCATTCATACATGTTTGCAGATATTCAATATAGAACTGAGATGTTACCGAGAGGTCTTTGAAGGGGTGGAGCAGCAAGCCTAGAGGCAACTTGGCTTTATTAAGCAGAGACTGCGTCTGAGGGATGCTGGTTAGCGTAGAACGAAAAACCCTGGAAAGACACACACTGAAGTTAAGAGTAGAGTAGAGTTATCAGGTAAAGGTAGAGGTATCAGCAGTAGTATGCTATATTACTTCAATATTAGAGTTTTCAAAAAGTGCAAGAACTAAACATCATAATAAAATCAATACTAACATTAACATAGAAAACAGAGAAGAAATAGGCACATGCTGTCAGTTGTATCACATCGTGGCTTACTCTGGGTTGCAGTTGATCTTCTGCAGGTCCTGTGGGAGGCAGGGTGTCGGGGCTGGGATTGGGCTTGGAGGCAGCAGGTTCCTCTCCTGCAGCAGGTTGACCACTCTCAGAGCCTCTGGTGTGCTTGACTGGAGGCTCATGGCTGCCAGGGACGGGCTCAGCTGGGCTGGGCCTGGGCCAACAGGAGGCTGAGAGGACAGAAAGAAAACAATTAAGTGATCATTGTTGTTGATAAGTTTCTTTTTTAACTCGTGTGTCAAATCATTGGCAGGTTTGGCCACCGGTGATCTGGTATAGATGATTAATCTCACTGTCTTTAAATCTGCCCCATTTAGACCTAAAGACAGACTCAACCTCAGCCGAAGCCCCGGAACTAGTCTAGCTATCATAACCAACATCATGTAACTTTACGAAATACTTTAAAGATCATCTGAAATTTCAAGGCCCATTTTGTTTTTTAAACTCGTACTGTTGAGTTGAAACCAGTTACTGACATTTTAAAGTGTATTACTGGGTCACGAGAGAATACTCTAATGAAAGTCATTACAAATTAGAACCAGATCACACTACACTCTCCCAACTCACCTAAAACTAATGAAAGTCACTCTAATGAATGATATAAAATAAGACATCATACTTTATCAAGTATTATTATATGTATCAATGCAATGAGTTTGAAACACAAAGATTTAATCTTTTTTTTTTTTTTTTTTTTAAGTGTGTTTTGTGACTCTGATATTGAAACTTTAGCACATATGTTTTTTTCATGTGATTACACAAGCTCTTTTTTGAGGCTCATTTTGAAATGTGATTCTCTGATAATAATTTAGTCACCAAATATGGAGTAGAAGAACTTTACATTTGGTGTGCAAAATGTTTTTAAATTGCTCAGTCTGCAGGAGGTCATGACTTCCCTCTCACCTGCTGGTATGGCTGAGGTGCTTGTGTATAAGGCTGCGTGGCGGCCTGCATTGCAGGGTGCATGGGGGGTGTTGCGTTGTGGGGAGCAGAGGTGTTCTGGTAACCAGGGGGGAGAGATGGGTAGTGGCCCAAGTGCCGACCTGGTGGTCCAGGCTGGGGAGGGCCAGCTGGGGAAGAAAAGAATAGAAGCAAGGATTAAGAATGGTCTTATTATATTCTTTTTCTTGTTACTTTACTCCTGTAATGAAAACAATAAACCAAACAACGCACAAGTTTCTCTTTCACACTTTTTTACTTCCTTGCTCTATAATTCATCCTCATAACTCATCCTACAAAAACAAGAATATTTTGTTTAAGCTTAGAAAAAAAAAAAGAGACAGGCGGTGTCTCATGATAATAATAAAAGTGTTTGTGCTCTTGGGATTATTGATGATATGCACAACATGAAGGACCATTTATAACTTGATCCTACAACTATGAAAATAGGAGATGCGTAATTAGAAAAATGCCAGAACACAATAGTTGGCCCACGTCTCAGCTAACATTTGTGATTTTGTAGAGAAATAGAGAAAAGAATTCATAATCTATCATTATTAAAATAATACCAAAGAAAGAATTTACTATTTAAAGTTTGTAAAATGAGAGGAAAATATATTTGTATAAAATAAAAGTACAGTAGCTTTTATGAAACCCTATGTTGTAAATATAGACAGTCCATGTGTTGGTGAGAAAAGAGTCAGACATGTGGCAGAAAAATCAACGCACCCATTTTGTTGTCAACATGATTGTAGCTGTTTGGGGCTTGTGGGCCGTTTCCAGCCACAGGTTCTGTTGCAAAGGAAACAGACGTGATGTGAATATCTCGGGACACTTACTGCTTATTTCTCCGCAGACGATGAGTACTCAGATGCACAAAGACGCACTGAAGCTAAACAACAATACTAATGACGATAGCTACTGGTGTGTGATTAATGTGTTTGAGTTGATATGAGAGTCATGGTGGGAATGGATGGAAGAGAGGGGGAAACAAACTACCCACGGGAAATATGTTTCCAGGGATGCACTGATTCGGAAAAAATAAAAAAGAAGGCTAAAGAAGCACTATAACAAAACAACTTCAGCACAAGTTGTATGTTGTATTCCAGTTTAAACAAAGCTTAAAGACGTGTTCTGTAAATGTAAAAGAATTGACATCAGCTTATTCTGCTCGTCTACATATTTCATATCAATTCTAGGAATCAAATAAGACTTAGTGCATCCCTAGATACAACGAAGAACAGCAAAGTGAAGACAGGACTGACACGATGTCTATCAGCTACTGATTGATTTAGCCACACCTGGACATTCAATATCTTCCTCTTGGCAGTCGGGCTCAGTGGGGGAGAGGGGGCTGTTAACCGCCCACCCACACTGAGCTGGCATGAGGAGGAAACAATGGAAGGTGATCAGAATATATATGACTGGCTTATAAAGAGGAAAATACAATTAAGGACTCAAAGTGAAACAATGTTATTACCATCAATGACAGCGTTTTGACTTTACAATTGGCACAGACCAATAAAGAGTAAATGTGCCATCAACACCACACTATAGGTGCCTTGTCAGTGAGGAAATAGTTGTGCTACCCTGACTTTGACCTCATTTGACCTGCAAACCTAGTTCAAACTTACCGATGTATGAACATCTAAAATGAACTAGCCCTTCTTCTTTGGTCATTTGATCCAAACAGCTTGGGGATAAATCACTTATCTTAGCCAATAGCATGCTTTAAATCACTTTAAAAAGCATAAACGCACTTAGATACTGCACTCATTAGTGCGTTGTTGCTTTTATTGGCTGCCCTGCCCAATGTCAAAGCCCAAAAATCAAATGTTCCTAGATAAACACTTAGACTAACAGCTTACCATCTGCCTTGGGGGGAGGAGGTGTGGCATTTGCCATTGGGGGTCCAGTCGGTGGCGATGTTGGTTTCATGGTTGGTGGTGGGCCTGTAGGTGGGGGGCCATAGGGAGCTCTGTTTGGTTGGTATGTGTTGGGGACCATTGGATTCATTGGTTGAGGTGCAGCACCTGATGAAAAACAAAACCCAACTTTCTTCTTAGAGATGCAACCACTGGTTATTTTCATAAATGATTTAGATTAAATGTAAACAAATCTCAAACAGATGAGCAAAGCAGCAAACCCTTTATTTACAAGCTTAAACCATCAACTGTTTTGCATTTCTGTTTGAGAATTAAATTCTAAGATGAATTACATTTCAGAGTTGTGTTAAATCATTTCTGTTTAAATGTACTTTCTTTAGCTGTAATTTCTTGTGAACGTATGACACAGTTTCACTAACATCCTCAATCAGAGAGATAATTTAGGGATATGCATGACCTGTCAACATTACTGTGGCTTCTGAAACAAGAGTCGTATATGGCGTTGTGACATATCATGTAGAAGAGACATGAAGCAATACTGATGTGTAACATTATAAGCTCCAAGTAGAGGCGACAACAGCTGATGGCACTACTGACCCACAGCAAGCCAATGACAGAACAGTGACAGCAACATGTTGATCTCTGCTGATAAACCAGCAAAATGAAATGTAGACCAGTTGAGAACCACTGATTTAGACCAATGATTGTCTCTTTGGAGTGAAATCTATATAAAATAACAATACATTTTATTTGAAAGCGCTTTTCAAAGCACTCAAGGTCACCTCCCCTTACAAAGCAGAGATAAAAAACAAAGTAACAATACATCAATAAAATCTCTTAACATTAAAAAGACAAATTAACAGGATGTGGAAAATCACTGTGTAGAGGATTTATGAGACCGGATGGAGAACGATCAGACTGAATATGCCAGTATAAAAAAGATGTGTTTTTTTAGATGAGATTTAAAAATGGAGACTGAGTCAATATTACACATGTGTGGTAGGAAGGCGTTCCAGAGGCGGGCGGGGGGCAGAGCGGCTGAAGGCCCTGGACCCCGTGCTGGACAGGTGGGAGGGTGGTGCAGTAAGTTGAATGGAAGAAGAGGAAACTGAGAGTGCGGGTGGGTGTGTTGACGTGTAGGAGTTCAGAGAGGTACAGAGGAGCGAGGTTGTGGATGGCTCTAAAGGTAAGGATCAGAAATTTAAAGTTGATGCGATATTTAACCGGGAGCTGAAGGACAGGAGTGATGTGATTAACAGAGGGGGTTCTGGAGATGATGCAAGCAGCAGAGTTGAAGTTTGAAAATGATGGAAAATAGTGCAAGAACTTTTTCAATAGATTAAGACAAAAAACGACAATTCTTCTTAATTCACTTGCGCAGTACCCTTTGTAAAGCATGCCAGAGTGGTTCAGTGACAACATGTTAGATTTATTCTGAAACATTTCACCGACAGAAAACATTGTGACTGAACCACTATCAACTGCACAGCTCAACAGAGACAAAACTGTTGGACATATTACAGCTGGTGGTGAAATGTGACATTTTAGAATTGATGTGACATGATGAGTCACATTTGAGAAAGTAACCAGTCAAAAGAATCTTTTTTTAAATGCATCTCATAACTTCTCTGATAAACTGCTGTTTTCACTGTCAGCATTGTACTGGGGATATGGGAGCTGATGGTGCTGCTGGGGGAAAGGTCACCCTGAATCAGGCAGGCTCTTCTTGTCAGGGTTGGGTGTGTAAACAGCAATTTTCAAGCTAATCTGACCATTGGATTGAGCGACATGTTGGTAACAGACAGATCATGTGACGGCTGCCTTGATGCAGAAGTACGGTTTCTTCATAAGAAGGACACTTTACAAAATGCTAAGACAAATCATTCTGACACTGGTAAAAGCTTATGTAACCAACTTTTATAATGCTTCTCGAACAGAGACTCTCTATGAGAAGACCCAGCAGCCAAACATTTAGCAGTAGACTTGACCCTAACACTCACGCAGGGGACAAAATAAAAATTGTGACCAGAAATCAAATGTTCTTAATAGCCAGAAGAGAGTTGTGTGTATTCTAGATTTTTTTTTTTTTAAAAGGGAGTGTCCAATAAATCAAATTAAAACAATTCATCATCATCATTGCTTTAAATGCCACGTCATACCAAGATTAAGACTCACATTGGGAAACAATAAAATATTTGAACTTTGAACAAATTCAGCAGGAATAAATCCAGCCAGAGTGAGTAACCCGCCTACATGTATAATGTCAGCGCAGAGGGCAATGTCCATCTCCAACATATCAGTGTTGTAGATACGCATATCTCCGGCACTTGCCGGTGTAAGAGATCAATGACGAGGAAAAAGAGACAGGAGGACTCTGTGGGTGCGTTCGAATTGTCCCTCCTATCTCCTTTCACTATCCACTTTACCTTAACCCCGGGGAAAACGTCATGAGGTTAAGGAAAGATGTTAGGAGAATTCATAAAGGACTTAGGGAAAGGCGATCTCGTTGCTCTGACAATCCGACCAGGTCAAAAAAATCAAACCAAACAAAGCAGATGGGTAAAGAAAATTAAAATCAAACCAGAACACCATCTTCTTCCTATACACACCTATAGGCCACGTAATTAAATGCGACGGGCCGGTGGAGGTTAATGACGTGGGTCCGCCGTGTTGAAACTATGATGTTACAAAAAACGCATCTAAAAAACTTTCCCCTGTGCCTTCTTGCCGGTGAAATAATCCTAATAACTACAAGGTTGGGATTGAAATAAAAGAAATATAGGCTACGAGTAACAAAAGTATCAAATTAATTGTTACATTCATGCAAGATATAGCCTACACATAATGTTTTAAGCATACAAATGTACAACTGCACAAAGCATTCCTAAGTGAATGAAATATGTTGAATAAAACATCATCTGGCTAAAAATGTCTCTTATCTTTTATCCCTTACATGATCTGTATCACTTTACGATCATCGTTAATGCTCGTGAACTGTCGGATGCGCGACTCGCTTTAAAATGTTGCGGCCGCAAGGAATTGCGGGGCGGCATATCTCATCTCCTTTCGTAAAGGATGGTCCAGTGTATCCTATGCTAAAGGAGGCTATAAAGGAAGCATTGACCCACCTTTCCTTAACTTTTAGAGAATTCGAACTTATCATGGCCGCCACTTAAATGCTTCCGGGTCATTTCACTCAGTTAGGAACCTTCCTAAGCAAAAATGACAATTCGAACGCACCCAGTGATTGTGCCTTTGAAAAGTCACATGGGAACAGTAGTAGATTTAAAATAACATAGGGTTTTTTCTTTTTAATTCTTGTTATTCAATTACAGGGACAAAATTAGCATGCTGAAGTTGAGTGGTCCCATTGTAACAGAGCCAGAGACGATTATTGATCTTTTTATGGATGTGACCCATGGAGTGCCTGCGTCATGTTTATGAATCGTACCATCGTTGTCTGCGTAATTCATTTACCTTTCAGAAGAAAATGAAACGATATTGTGAATCTAGAACGTACAGGTTGTCCTTCAAAAGAGATTATGTGGTCCTACCTGGCTGGATGTATCCGTGCAGAGATGTGGGGGCATCCGTGGGCCAGGGGGCTGGGTAGCACTGTGGGACAAGGAGGCTGGTGGCGCCGAGTTGTAAGATGCTGTTGAGCTTGCAGCAGGGTTCACATGGTTTGCTGGGAGGCCGCGAGGAGGTGTGTTCATGGAAGTGGGTGGCCCCATTGGTGGGGGAGCTGTGTTGTACTGCCATGTTGGAGCCATAGGCTGTGGCTGCTGGGGGCTTTGGTAGTAGCTACTGGATGACACAGCAGGAGGTGGGGGTGTGGCCTGTGCAGGGGGCAACCTAGGACCAGGGCTTGGGCTGGCAGACTGAGGAGGGGTATGGGATGGAGGACCTGCCATTTGAGGTCTTGTCAACAGTGGCTGGCCTGGAGGAGCTTGGTAGGAAGAGAGTGGTGGGCCAGGCTGGTAGGGGCTGACTGGGGGAACAGGTTGATAGGGCCCAACTGGGTAGAGTCCAGGGCCGGGTGGTGCCGGAGCTTTGGCCTGCATTGGATTGTAGGTTGGCTGGTGGCTCATGCCATAGTTGACCCCAGGCAACTGCTGCAGGGCGACTGGATTCTGTGACGGACCTGGAGAAGAGAAAAGAAAAATACAGGCATGTTTGAGAACCAGCAGGTCTATGTCTGTTAGGTAAAAACATTTATATTCAACCAAACCAAAAAATAGCCATCAAAATAACACTCATGTCCTTTCAGATATGCACTTAACTTATTTAATGTTTCAACAGTTTAAATGGCAGCTGCAAGTTTTTATGATTTTAAACTACTGCTGCTATCGAGAAGAAAATGGTTGTTGGACTTCCTTTCCTGTACCAGATGGCAACATTTGAAAATGATAGCAGCTTTTTAAGTTAGACAGACTAATCATGCATGACCAGAACTATTAAAGGAACACTTCTGGAAAGTGGCCTTGGGTTAAAAAATGTACAGCCAAGCCTTTAGCTATCCAAAGATAGATAAATGTTACAGTTTCCTAAATGCAAAACATTACCATATAGTATTCATCTGTTTTTAAGTTAAATTAAATCTTTGGGTTTAAATCTGGAGCCCAGTTCAAAAAGTTACTTGATAAACAAATCATGATGTACCAATATTGTAAATGGACACGCTCAGTACAAAAAAAAAAATCAGATCCACCAAACAACCAATAAGTTGACTGCTCAGTGCTCAGGGTCTAATCTCTTTACCTGGATCTAATTCAGCATGATCTGCTCCCAGGGACAGTGAGTGTGGGGGAGCAAAGTCTGAACTTTCTAAACACTGTCATATTTAAACACCACAGACTAAAATGTTTGACTATTTTGTCTATGTTTCCTGAATTCTAGATTTCATTATCAAGAAGAACAAAAAACTGATCTCAAAAACGATCTACTATTCAGTGGAAAAAAGGAGAAAAGAATTGGGTCAGAGTGGGAATGCATATCAATAATTGTGTTACCTAAAAAACAGCAATGCTTCAATTGTAGATTTCTACAACTTAAATAATGACATACCTACAGATTACTTACTTCTATCCACTTATGTAGTACTACACAACTTGAAGTAGAGTCAAGTCAGCAGAGTTAAAGGGGATTAGTCAACAACTCTTCTCAATGAGCAAAGATAAATGAAGGAACATAATCCACCTCAAATCTCCTTCCTTCCTCTGAGCAGGGAAGATTTAAGAACTAAAGCTCACAGTTAATTACAGCTGGTGTCCAATCAGAAAGAGTGCCCTTTGAAGTCATAACTTAACCCAAATCTTTTTCAATCGAGAAATTCGAATGATTGTCAATCAAGATTCAAGGGTGTACATTTGTAAAGAGAAGAAAAGACTTCTAGAGAGCATTTTAATACTACAGTTTTTTTTTTTGTCTGTACTTTTTGTGGAAATAGTTTGAAATATTAGAGCATTCTGTAAATATATCTAGACATTGAAAATTTAGAATTAGAATTTAGAACTAAAGAAATATCTGAGAAGAATTGATTTCCAACCACTGTGGTGAAAACTGATCTAATTTAGCTTTAGTGGCACGCTGTCATGAACTGTTTCTTTAATCAAATTGTTGTAAGATTGATCACCGCTCAAAGAACAGAGAAAGATTAACACCTTTTAGTGGCCCGTCTGATTAAAAGGAATAAAGGAATGAGAATAACAGGATTGCCATGGTCACACACATGTTTATCTACAACTTAAGTAAACCACAGCTATTTTCACTTTTACTTAACTTCCACAGTGCAGTACTAGACATAACCATTCGCAAGCATCGATATTAACTACTGAGGGCTGCACCCATTCACACTTTTAATATCTGTTTACAGATATGTCTTTTTCAGTGATCAATGCAAAGTGACAGTAACGGGAATATTCTGCAACTCAACTCAAGTCTCACACTCGGTAATTGGTTGAGCCTGGAGAGAGCAGTAACGTATCTGGATCATTCCCAATGTGCCACATGTACAGTGAAACGATAAACGAAAACATACCAGAGCAGTATATCCTGCTAAAATTTTTTTACAAAAAATGGCATTGTGCAAAGTGGGATAACTACGAAACATTCAGATTGGCATATCCACTAGCAATGGATCTGCACTGGAGAAAAACAAAAAGGAGACTTGTGCGAAAAAAACAACAAATATTAAGGGCAGACTTGTTGCTCGCCAACACAGTTTGACAGAAAAGGAATAGCTGCCTAATTACCATCATCAAACTATTTTATGTCTTTAACATGTAGGCCTATCCACCTGTTGGTCTTCCAAGTCAACAAACCAAAAGTAGCAAAATGTAATAAACAAGACAGGTTACAGGTAGCGTATCGTTGTGGCATCAGTTACTCTTTCCATATTAAGACAGTAAGATTTACCTTCAGGTAATCCACCGGAGCAGTAATGTTACCTGACAGCTCATCATTCCTACCTTAATTATAGCTGATTAAAACTAAGACAGATAGTAGGCTAACAGTTAGCAAATAGCCACAGAGAGAAGACCAAATAACTGTTGCTAGTGTTAGCTTGATACTCTTGTGTATGGTGCTGATAGCTAATTACCATGAGTCAACTTAAATGATATTTTAATACAACTCACCATTAGCATATGCCTGCCCTGTCCCTGTCCCGTTCTGGGAGTTGAACCCCGCTGTTGACATCTTGAAATAGACACCAGAATCCAAGTTAGAGGTGCTTGGTTGGCGAATAGGTAGCTGCGTCTTTAGCTAGCCTCCTAGCTCGTAGTCCCGGGTTAGGTGTTTAAACCTGTGGCTCTAACGATGTGGCGTTTTGGTCAAATCGACGTCAACAGTCCTCTGCCAATATCTTATAAAAATTAATTAGCCCGCCTGATGGCGATCACAGGGCCATGACTTACACAGAAAACCCCGTCAACTCTTCTACGGGGTGGTTAACGACAGGCCTTGTCAGAGTAATCGTGTGAAACACTTCTCCTCTTTCAACCGGAAGTTGGGATCACCCAGCAGGATCAACGTCAAAATCGTCGGGCATGCGCAGTATGTACACGTGGCATTTCCTCTGGTGTCCTGGATTTTGTAGTGTACTAGAAACAAGAGTGGAGACCGGGAGACCTCTAACACAGACTACATTCACCGCGTTTATGTACGATGAAGTATTTCCCCCAAAATTAAATATAGAGTGACCTTCTTAATGTAGTCTAATCTATTCGTGCAGAGTTCAAACGACCATAAAACAGACTGCCAACAGTCGAAATAAGTGACATTAATTTATTCTACAAAGTGAATTTTCATGACGGCACAGTTTGAAAAATCCACTACAGTGGATTGTAGTGAAGAACTAGAGAAAGTTATTTATGTAATCCAGTCATACTTACTAAAATACATATTGTATGAAAAAAAAATCCACTACAGTATAAAGAACTAGAGAAAGCTGTTTAAGTAATCCAGTCATACTTACTAAAATACATATTGTATGAAAAAAAAATCCACTACAGTATAAAGAACTAGAGAAAGTTGTTTAAGTAATCCAGTCATACTTACTAAAATACATATTGTATGAAAAAAAAAATCCACTACAGTATAAAGAACTAGAGAAAGCTGTTTAAGTAATCCAGTCATACTTACTAAAATACATATACATATATAATCTGATACATATTGTATGAAGAAAAAAAAAATCCAGTGAATTACATGAATGAAAACTATCAATAGAAGAAAATTGATCCTCTTTCTAAATCAGTTCACCTGTCGGAAAGAAGATTGTGAAACATAAACAGGAAGCGGCAGAGTTTTGGGGAGTAGTTGGACAGCCATTGCAGTGTCGTGGCTTCAGTAACAAAACACGAAAAGAGAGAGGAAGGCTTTTCGCAGGCTCTCTTTTTTCGACTAGGGGACCAATTTACATGACTATTAGAGCAAACACGTTGGGTTAATTAGTCTACACCTAAACAACGGGTAAGTGTTGATACATTTCCTCATTAATGATATAAAAAAAGAGGCTCTTACGTGAATGATCTCGGCTGTAGCACGTTAACCCCGGCTCCTAGCGACGCTACGTTAGCATCGCGAAAACCAAGTTGGCTTACTTGGTTATTATCAAATAGACACAATCTGAATGTTTACTGAACCAGGTGTGATTGTGTTTTTAACATTCGTGTTTATTATTGGGGATATGATACACTCTTTAAATGTCCAGTTTCGTTTTCATCAGTACGTCCTTTTCTTTTTTTTTTTTTGGTTTTCTGTAGCTAACTTAGCTTCGAGCTAGTAGCCGCTTGATGCAACGTCGCCTGTTCCAGAAGATGACACGTAGCTGCTAGCCAGCGTAACTACCCGACCTGACCCAAGCTGTGTATCATCACGCACAGTGTACAACCTTACTTGTATAGTTTTTTTTTAAATAAATGTTAAAATTATATTTGGACATTTCTTTTTCTTTTATTTGCAAAAGATCAACCCTCCATGTGAAGGTAAAGGTTAGCTAACTTCGCTGCTACGTTGACAGCGGTCGTAAATGCGAGACTCGTTTGACAGACAGAGAAACCAGGGACAGTGTTTTGGTTTAATTATCTTGAAATGACATGAACGCTATTTCAGAAGCCCTTCCTGACAGGTTTATGAAAACGATATCGACAGAGACTAAATATTCTGAAGGGAAATTGTCATAGTAAAGCTGATAAACTTTGAACAAGTGATTAATTGCTTAAAAAACCGACTTTTTAAATGTTCTGTTATTATTCAATTAGTTATTATGTAAACAGCGGCCAGTCCCCCCCCCCCCCCCCCAGATATTTAAAAACCAGTTTAGGGTAAAGGCATTTTTTAATCATGCAAAAGAGTCTGTGGTGTTTAAATATGACAGTGTTTAGAAAGTTCAGACTTTGCTCCTCCACACTCACTGTCTCTGGGAGCAGATCATGGTGAATTAGATCCAGGTAAAGATCAGATTATGTTGTTTAGTAAGGATGGCAAACGTTTGTTATAGCGTTGAAGTTTGAGCATGTGAACTCCTAATTATTCTTTAACATTTTTGTCCAAGTGTCTTTTATAAATGGGCATGTCCCTGTGTGATAGATTTACGTGATATCAGATGTCTCATTCAGTTTATCTATCATCTTGTTGAGTTTACATAATCTGAGCTCTGTATCACACCTGTAGCTTCACTGTGATGGTTGTGGTTTTTATTTGCTTCCACATTTGAAGCCTGTTCACAACTGCTACATTAATCAAGTTAGGTTTCCCCTCTTTTGTGTGCTATGATCTTTAAACAGATGTTTCTATTTGTCTGACTGTGACTGACAACAATCATGGGCAAATGTGGTTCCATATTCACAGCAGCGTTTAACCCCACGTGGAGCATCAATCAGAAATGCCAGCCCACAGCGTCATAGCAGCCAGTTTGAGCAGTGAACTGTAGCAACAGCTGACGTGTAGTTCAGCTGTATTTGCGTGTTCTTGAACTTCATACCTACCGTACACTTCAGCCTCTGTGTTGTTTGCATGTTACGTAACAAGTACTTGAGGTCAGCGGCACTAGCGTACCTTGTTCTGGTTAACTTTGGCTGTCGCAGAGTAAAGTCTTGGGAATTTAAATAATGTGTAAAGCAGAATTAATTTGACCAGCATAGCAAACATCATGGTGTGATGTGGGAATAAAATTGAGGTTACAAAAATGTTGTCTTTTGGTTTCAGTGAGAGGAAGTCTGTGCTTTTTTTACTCCCCTTCTCAGACTTTTATGTCCATGACTGTAGCTGAAACTGCTGATCACATCATTTTAGAAAAAAATGAGCTTGTGTGAAGTAGAATAACAAATGAACAAAGCTAGAAACAATCTGTGGCATGTGTTCTGTCAGAGAGCTGTTTGATGTCACACAGTAACAGCAGGTCCTATCTCAGATTCATTGTTTTTCGATTGAAATACAATCTACCCAGCTTATCATGAAAGACTAAGACTAGGCTGTATTTCCAAGGTCCTTGCAGATGGGTTGTTGAGGAGCTGTCAGATGCTATCTGATCAGTACTCGGAGTCTCCTGTCCTGCTGTTGAAAGATTACTACTAGAGCAAGCTTATCATTGGATGTGGACCACCAGTCATTGTTCTTACCATGAAATGCAGATATCATCTGATAGATTAAGGCAGTCCACACACTCTTAGAGCTGATTGCTGACACTTTTGTAAGAATTGTGATGGGGCATGCTGGTTGGTTTCTATTGATCTTACTCTTTGTCTCCTATTTTGTTAATATTTCTAATTTGTATCTCGCTTTGGTTACTATCCCCTGAAAGAGCTTTCCAACAATGTTCCACTGCAAATTAAAAGTGGTGTCGTCATCTTCAGATTTGGATTTGAAAACTGTGTTCTCATTCATAGCACAAAAAGTAATCAGCCCAATGTGAACAGGAATTTACTAATTTATCCTTGTTTCCCAGAGATATTGAATCTCAGATCTCAATATTAAATAAAAAGTTAAAACATGTTTAACATACCATCCTGTGATTTTTAGGATTTGAAGAATAATGAAAACAAACTGTCCAGCACTTTAATAAGTGTGCCATTTAAGCAGCTATCGTAAAAACTCTTCCACGTGTGGATTTTGTTTTGCTGGGGATGTAAGAGTGCAGCTTTCCGATGCCACAATAAGTTATCCTTCATCTAGAGGAAAAGAGACCCTGTGGGTAGCATCAGTGACAGCCTGCATACAAATGTTACTGATAAAATAACCACTTGGAAAGAAATGCTCAAACAAGATGACCTTACCTGGACAGTTCAACGTGCAATGCTTAAATTTGGCTAATGATATTTATGATGATGATGATGGATATTGCTGACAAAATAACATGTTACAGCTCCTCTCTTTCCTGTTCTCTTCTCCATGCATTACAAACTTCTTACCTCTTCTTTTCTGTTTTCTGTTTTCTTGTTTTTAGGACTCAACAGCTCCGGATATGTCATTCATATTTGACTGGGTTTATCACAGTTTCAATAGTGTGCTACAGTTGTTCGGTGAGTATAAGTGAACACACACTCTGAAGCACAAAGCTTTTTTCCTTTTTTTCTTTAGAGTTTTTCTCTGACATGATGCACAGAACTTTTAGTTCAAGATGATTTACTGTGCCTAAAGTCTCATTTATTTGATCACAACAACTTACATTGAAACAACAACTGGTCTGTGTAGCACCACAGCCCTAAAGTCTTCTTGGTGGAAAGCTGCGTCTTACAGTGTAGTTAACAATAGTGGGCTTTGTTCCTGCCATCCTTGTTGTAGTAAAAGCTTGAAGGAAAATGTAGAGTTTCTTTACAAGTTCTGATCTATGTTGTGCCCTGCAGACTCAAATCTGAAACGCAAGTACTCTGACAGTTCACTTCAGTTGGCAATTCTTGAAATTCTAATCTGTACTTAAAGATTTAAAACACTAAACATTATCAGCCTAGGCCATTGTTCTTTCATCTTATGTAGTAATCATCAAAACATGTAAGATAAATGAATTTCTTAAAAAAAATGTTATGTACCTCTAAATGGATTATTTGTGAATCTCCTGTTTGAGCATTAACAGAAGATGGATTACGGGTTTTATTCTCTTTGGGGCAAAACATGCATCCCATAATGTGTCTGTATAGTGGTGTGGCTAAAGGCTTACATTACATTGCACATGTTACGTCAGCTTTTGCTTGCTGGCAACGGCAGATTGGTAATTGACCAGAGGAATACTCAGGGTTTTCCCTCTTGACTTTCTGGATATAAATTATTCTTAAAACCTCTACATTATAGATAACTCTAGCGGAGTGGTATGTCTGTGAGACTTCTATTACAGTATGTTACTGTTTTTTGAGCAAAGGTGATCTTATTTAAAAGGTAGAATTTCAATGTTATCTGAAAATGAAAGTGACAAAGGAAATCTATCTCATTGAGACATGACGTGATAATTCACCACAGCTTTTGTATCCATATGAAATCTGATGGAAAGTCTTGTTAGGAGGTTTGCTGTTCCACCGT